CTCTTACTAAAGTGCAGGTAATGAGATATTTCCTGCTTGCTGTACTGGCTTGTGGTGGGCAGGAAGGGTGAGAAAGTGGGGGCACTAACTCAGCAAAGCACCTATGTTGTGCTCAGGATGCAGCATCTGTGGGCTCCTGCTGTCTTTCCGGGAGGTGCCATTGGGATCACACAAGGCAGGTCATCTTGAAACTCGTGGACAGTGCATATTGGGGAAAAGCTATGCATGGATTATCAAATGTTTTTGCACCCAAACTGACCTTTTCATTTCACCTCCATGAGCTTTTGGAAAAGCTCCCATAAGCAACAGGGCTGTGTGTGGCCAGCACAGGCATGCACACGTGGAAGCGCTGACCGCTGCCGAGGACACTCACAAACACATGGGGACCCAGCCTCCCCTTGGCCTTTCTAGGAGAGAACCCAGGGTCTGAGGCCATGGCCCTGCCCTACAGCTGGTGTCCCTGGGCTTTTGCCACCAGCTCTCTGTCTGTCCAGGCAGCGTCTCATTCTGCGAAGTTCGTTTTGGAGTCCTGGGTGCAGCAGCTTCCATCTCACTTACTTTTTTCCCCTATCCATGCCTCACGAGGGAGTAGACCAGAGAGGAAGTGATGGTTTCCATGGCTGAGCTCCTTCTGCGGAGTTACCTATGGTTCCAACACCTCCTACTGTGGTTGGCTCGCTCACCTGGGCATGTCTAGACTTGAAATTTCGCACTCCTGGGAGCAGGACGTGGACCTGGGGTCGGGTGCAGACATGTTTGGGTTTAGCCTGGTGCCAGGCTATTGGGTTCCCTCCTGGGTAGATAGCTCTGGGCCAGGCTTTGCTCGCTTTGTGCTTAGGGATCTGCCTCCTCTGGGGTCCAGCTTTGGGAGCTGCTGTCAGCTCCAGGGCACTCTTGGTCCCCAGAAGGACAAGTATCTGGACAAAATTTGGGAAGAGTGTCTGTCCCGGGCAGCCAGCCTGGTCCTACTGCACAGGAAGGGCTATCTCCCTTCAGGAGGTGATGGAAGTGGTTCAGGTCCTGGATGTGGGGGAGGGAGTCTCATGAGTGTCATGCAGGAGTTGGCAGAGCACAGTCTGCCATGGGGCATCTGGTGGCTGGCCCTGGCTTCCTCCCAGTCTGCCCGAATCATCTGTGCTTATGTCAGGGCTCCGCTTAGAGCAGCAGAGGGTCCCGGAGTTCCAGATGTTCTGTAGGTGGAGGTTTGGGGTAGAAGCTGCCCAGAGGAGGTGTGGTACTGGGCCCTGCCCATCATCTAGTGTGGGCCTGGGTTAGGGGGCTGGAGGGATTATGGGCACCAGTATGTATCCAGCATGGCAATGGCTTGCAGACAACCTCCTGAGTAAGGAACAGGCTGTTGGAGATGAAGGAGGGGGATGGGGGGAGGCAGAGAGAGAGTGTGTGTGTGTGTAGGGGCCTGGGAGGGAGAGAAAGAGGAAGAGATCTAGAAAAGTCCCAGGACAAAATAGGCCTTGGGGGATCCCAACTGCAAAGACTGGCCAGTCTTTCTTGCTAGTTTCCTGCGAAGTGTGAAGATGCAGGAGTGCCTCCTTCATGCCCTCTCCCCACCACCTCCTGCTTTCAGTCTGCCCTTCCCATGAGGCCAGGGGTGGCCTAGGTGGGTGCCAGCAGGGCTGGTCTGACCAAGGGGAAAGGCTCAGTGCTCAGCCAGCTGCTAGGTGCCCAGGGAATGTCCTACAGGTGTCTCGGCGTGCTTTCCTCCATCAGTTCCAGCTGCTTACAGGGCCACACAGTCTGTGGGATAGGTGTCACCTGGTCCAGCATGGGCTGAGCATCCATGCTGGATCAGCTGACCTTCCTGGCCTGCCAAGGATCTGCTAAGGGAAGAGGGGGCGTCCCTCCCTTGTTCCCATTCACATGTAGCCCTAGCTCTGCCCCAGTTGTACCCTAATGCTGACCTTAGTTTCCTTGGCCCTTCCATTGAAGGTTTCAACCCCACTGTGACTCATAAATCCAAACAAGAGAAGTCCTCCCCACATAGAAACTTGGTGGCAGAAAGTGGGGCAGATGTTTTCCATTACCCCAGTTTGCCTTTGCATTTGAATTTCATGACTCTGGGATGTCCTGAAATAATCAAACTTCTCTGATCAGTGTCTGCATGCTGCACTGCCCTCAACTTGGCCGAGACCTTCTTTTCTAGAAGCTTCTCTGTGCAGGTGGAAAACCTCACGACTTTACTGCCTGCCCTTTGCACTGTAGGGGAGCCAGCTTTCCCCTGGAGATGGGAGTGATGCTGTGGAGGAGCCTTTGACCCCCCCAGGTACAAGCTTTCATGTCCCTTGCTGTGTGGGGCCTTGGTTTCTGCGTCTGTATAATGGGGGGTCAAGAAACCCGCCTTCCCAACCCCAGCAGCTGAAATGACGGGCTGCATGTGGAAGCACTTGATAATGCCACAAACCACCGTATAATTAGAAAGTCTGACCCCAGCCTCTGGCTTTATCGGAATTCCTCCTTTGTGCCAGGCGGTTGGGTGGGTTCTAGAGGTCTGGCCAATGTATTTCCTGTCCCAAGGGGAAGTGCAGGTTGACACTCACAGTGCCACTGGTGGAAGGGAGGGTGATTGTCAGACATGTCTGGGCTGGACACTGTGGTGGCAGCACAACTCCGGAGGCAGTGGTTGTCTTGCTGGCCCTTTGCTCTCACCTCCTGCAGGCAGTTGGTTTTTCAGAAGCACCATCTTGCCATCCATCTCTGGCCAAAGCCATTTCAGTTTTCGCTTGTGTGGCTGCTTAGGCCCAGCATGGGATGCAGCTCACGACCATCCTTGTAGTCATCTCGCCTCTGCTTGATGTGTTTTGCATTGTTTTCTGCTCATTGCACAGACTACCCTCCCTTGCTTTGACTTCTCGCAAGCTCCAGTTTGTTCCTGGACACACTCTTAACCTTGTTTCTGTGACTGCTGCGCCGCTGCCCCTCCACCATACTGAGGGCTGCTGGTCCTCTGTGGCCAGCTCCAGGAGTGAAACACAGCATATTTTCCTCCCAGCATTGTGATGCTGGCAGCTTCTATTCCAGCACATGGTGGTTTCTGGCCTGTCTTTGTCTGAAGAGAGAGAGAAAAAGGTGGTGGCATAGCAATTGAAATCAGGGCCAGGGATCAGCTGGCTACAAGGGACCAGCAGGGCCTTGGTGGGGAGCACCAGGCGTGGAGACCAGTGTGAAGGGGCTGCCAGGACAAGGGGTGCAGAGGGACTTTGTGTCCTTGAGTTGAGACATTCAGCCACCTTGAAAAGAGAGCACGAGTTACTGTTCAGAAGTGAATCAGCATCCAGGGTTTTCCAGTTTCACTGGGTCATAAATCTGCCTCTCCATGTGCTGGGAGCTGGCTGCATGCAGAGCTGCACGTCGAGCACCCAGGAGGTCAAGCCAGGCACCGGGAGATCCAGGTGAATTGAATGCAGACACGGCCTACCAGCTCCCTCAGCCTGATGGGCTTGGTCATTGTCTGAAGGAGGTAACATTTGATCATAACTGTGAAGGGGAGATTTGGATGGCCAGGGAGAGAAGGGAGGCCGTTTCAGGTTGGGGTGACAGCAGTGGGAGAGGCAGGGTGGCAGGCAGAGGTAGCTGCATCCTTATTGGGGTAGGCAAGGGAACAGGGCTACGAGTTGATCAAGTTTGCACTTTAGTTAATGCAACTGGGGTAGAGAGGGTGGGTTTGCGGAGAGACTGAAACTGGAAAACCATTGCAGTGGTTGAAGCACTTCGTGGTCAGGCATGTGGCTCTGGGCTTTTCAAGCTGCAGAGTGGTAGAAAGAAGGCCCAGTGAGAGGAAAGGACTTAACAATGCATATGGAAGGCCAGTGCTTGAGGACAGGTGTCTACCCCTGTGCCAGGCAAAGCACACACGCAGCAGACGCTTCCAGAGGAAATAATTGGGAAGGTACTGTGAAGAGCAGTTTTGTGACAGCCAGTGGCGATGCAGCAGGCCCAAGGTTGGAAGCCTAGAAGTTTCAGGAACATGGGGCATCCAGAAGAGAAGCAAGTTGGGTTGGCTTGGGTGTGGTTCTGTTTGGAGTCCCTGGTACACACAGATCCTGTACATGGGTGTGGGAGTCCAGGGGCCATTTCCAACAGTCTCAAGGGTGGCATTGAGGTCTCTGTTCTGAGCCAGACCTCCATCCTCTGAAGGGCTCTGGGCTTGTGACTACCGTTTGTACCTTCCTGTAAGTTGTGCCCATGGAAGTTTACCAGCCGCACCAGCTCATGAACAGGTGATGCTTGTGGAGTGCTTGCAGTGTTCCCAGCTCAGCTGCAGCTCGTCTGACCTTACGAACTCCTGTGAATGGGCCCAATTATCGGCTTAATTTTGCACTAAAATCCACAGGGACTGGGATTTGAACCTAGGTGTCGGCCCTGGAGTCCTCATTTTTTTATATATTTATTTATTTTAGAGATTTATTTGTTTTTTTATTTGAAGGGCAGAGTTACAAAGAGAGGAGCGACACAGTGATCTTTCATCCACTGGTTCACTCTCCCTAAATGGCTCTAATGGCCAGAGCTGGTCTGCAGCCAGGAGGCTCTTCAGGGTCTCCCATGTGTGTGTAGGGGCTCAAGGACTTGGGCCAAGCTCTGCTTGTTTCCTAGGTGCATCAACAGGGAGCTGGATCCAAAGTGGAGCAGACCAGACTTTAAGTAGCACCAATTGGGGATGTTGGTTCTGCACGCAGCACTTTGCCTACAGCACTGACCCCTCCATGTAATCTTTTCAGGCTGGGAAGGACAATGAAGATGTGCAGTGCCTTTGGATGGTGAGGAGCCCTGGGGCTTCCAGCATTTTCCGAGTCTGCTATAGGCAACATGGCTGCTGGAAGTCCCGTGACCTCTCGTGTGTTCTTTGCCAGTGTCTGCTCCAGTGCCCGCAGGAATTGGCCTGTCTTGATCAGGCAGGAACCTCTCTCCTCCCCAGTCTAGCTAGAGCTGCCGTGATCTGCCTGTGCCTCTACCTCACTCTCCTTGCTTCTTGCCCTTTTCCCCAGATTGACAAGTACCTCTATGCCATGCGACTCTCCGACGAGACCTTGATAGATATCATGGCTCGCTTCAAGAAGGAGATGAAGAATGGCCTCTCTCGGGATTCTAATCCAACAGCCACAGTCAAGATGTTGCCAACATTTGTGAGGTCCATTCCTGATGGTTCTGGTGAGTCTCTCACCCAGAGATGGGGAACTGAGGGCTGAGTGCTCTGGGCAGCCCTTCCAGCTTTCTTCTGTTCTTTACTCACTCACTCACTCATTTGCTGCTTCACTTAGTGTTCTATCCATCTGGTCTCCCATCTACTCATCCATTCTCCCATGCACTCATCCGACCACTGTCCGTCTGCAGGGCATCTGGCAGGTGCCATGCGCTTATGTTGTTGGACCAGGTCGATAACCTGGTTGCTCATCTGTGTAGTGCCGGGTTGGTGGTATCACACCTGCTGTGTGGGTTGTTGAGTGTGAACTGCTCCAGAACAATGAAGAGGTCACTTCAAGCAAGTCTGCTTTAGTGTACCAATGTCTACCTATCTTTCCATACCTAAATAAGTCATCATCCTTGGTGGCCAAGTAGGCCTTAGGCTCACGTTTCTGTTTGAACAGATTTCATTGATACTGAACAGAGAGACGGGGGAGGCAGGATTAAAAAAAAGTCCTCTCAGTCTGATTGCTCCCTGAGATTTGGAGGCATGTCTGTGCCTCTTCCCCCACCCCAGGAGTGGCATCAGTCCCTGGCCTGGGCAGAGGGGCAGTGGGAGCCCAGCCAGCCCCAGCTGCTGGGTTGCAGAGGTGGGTGTGGTACCCGCTGCTGCTCCACACAGACTCGATGGGAGCTCCTCTGAGAGCTATGTTCCAGGCTGTGGCTGGGCTTCCTTGGAAGGCATAGCTTTTGGGAGAATGTTGTTTCTCCTGGGGTGACAAGTGCGTACCTCATGAGTAAGAGCCTTGCATGCACCTGTTGTCCCTTCCCTGCCCTGGAGGAACCGGGGAAAACAGTCATTGATATCTCATTAAAGTACCTTGAAAGCAGCCTGCACAGCCAGTGCCAGGCAGAGCTGCCGCAGCTCTAGTGGCCACTTATGAACCTTGGTCCAGGGACAGCCTGCGGGGCAGGTAGCCTCCACGGGGAAAGCTCTCCTGGTCCTGCTGCCATCTCCCGAGCCCTGGGTGCCACTCGGACATGGACAGTGAGTGTGCTCTGATGGTTCTTTGTTGACAAGGCGCCTGTACCTTGCCTCTTTGGCTTCTCTTGAGGGCTAGTTACCTAGCTTGAAAGAAATTGTTTTTTAAAGATTTTTTTTCATTTTTATTAGAAAGTCAGCTATATAGACAGGAAGAGAGGAATATCCTCCATCTAATAATTCACTCTCCAAGTGGCTACAGTGGCCAGAGCTGCACCAATCCAAAGCCAGGAGCTTCCTCTGGGTTTCCCACTTGGGTGTAGGGTCCCAAGGCTTTGGGTCTTCCTCCACTGCTTTTCCCAAGTCAATAAGCAGGGAGCTGGATTGAATACAGGGCCACTGGGATTAGAATCTATATGGGATCCCGGTGCATGCAAGGTGAGGACTTCAGCTGCTAGGCTACTAGGCCGGGCCCTGGCTTGAGCTTTTAAAGAACTCCTGAAAAGAGTGCCAGCCACCAGAGGGCACAGAGTAGTTCTGTGCCCGCTCCCAGCCATGGGATGGGGAATGGGAGGGTAATGGATGTGGGTGTGGGCAGTCCCTGGGAGTCTTCCTGGCTTGGGTCACTCTGACCCCCATGTGCCTGGTTTCCAGGCAGCCACACAACTAATGGGATTGAAAGTCTCCTGTTGTGAGCCAGGGCAACCGGCCACTGTAGCCCATTCCTTAGGACAAGGTTGGGGACTCAGGTTCACTCTCCGTGCCCCAACAGCAGATACCAAAGGCCTGAACAGTCCTGCAGGAGAGAAGCCGCTTGCCCTGGTTGTTCTCAGCACAACCATCTTGTCCCTGGCCTCGGTTACTGTCCTGCACCTGTTCTAAGGCACTCGTCTTGCTTGTGATGAGAACTTTGAAATCAGCGCTGTGCAGCTTGGGGAGAGCCGTTGTGAAGTATCTATGTCTTTTTTCTGTTCTTGTTGCTCTTTCTCTGAGGACAGGGGGTCTCCACTGTGCTAAAAGGTGTGGACCTCGTACAGACAAGCCTGTGGGGTTGCAGCCTGGGCACCTGCCTGCTCTGAGCCTCACCTTTGATGTGGGGCGTAGGGCAGGTGTTGAGGGGTCTTCAGAGGCACCATCTGGTGCTGAGAGCTTAGGGCACAGGGGAGAGGGAAGTGACCTCGTACAGGGGCCCACCCTCCCTGTGCAGAGAGCCTGGCTGTTCCTGTACTCTGCACCTCATTTCCCCAACCCGGTACCTCTCCCATGGGTCAGCGTCCCAGGGCTGTCGTATCAGAGGGCCACCAGTCAGGTGGATCTAACAGAAACATGTTGTCACACAGTTCTAGAGGCTGGAAGTCTGAGACCAACGGTTCTCCAGGATCATGCCTCCTCTGAGACTCTGGGTGGAGTCTCTCTCTGGCTTCTGGCTGGGGCCACCTGTTGTCCTGGCTGTGCCTCACCTGCAGCCGCATCACGTGGCCTTCTCTCTCTTCACATAGGACTTGGGCTAGAGGCTGCTATAATGGCTTCCCTTTTTTTAAGATTTATTTGAAAGAGTGACTCAGAGATCATCTATCCCCTAGTTCATCCCCCCAGAGCCAGGGATAGGTCAGACTGAAGCCTGAGGCCAGAAACCCCACCGAGGTCTCCTACATTGGATGGCTGGGACTTGTGTACTTGGGCCATCCTACCCCACCTCCCCAGGTGCATTAGCGAGAAGCTGGATCAGAAACATCTGGGACTTGAATCAGCACTGTTGCAGGCAGCCGTGTAACTTGATTTACCACAAGAATAGCATCCAGCCCATTCCTAACGTTTGTGGGTGGGTCCATTTCATGAGCCCTAAGTCCCCCACTGTGCTTGGAACGGCCCCTATGGCCACACAGATTTTGACCCTGATGCCAAGTCTGATCTACTTAACTTCTGATGTGGTCTGTGCCCCTCACCTGCCCTTACTGGGCACCTTGGCCATCCAGGACTGAAGAGCACTCTGGGCATCACCAGGATATGAGTTTCCCTAGGAGGAAGTCCCTGGTGTGACTCTACAATGTTAATCACCGCTTTGCTACATGGTAATTAGTCAGCCTCAAAGTTAGCAGTAATCCCAAAGCACAGGAGCAGGACTGGAGCCACCCTGAAGGGAGCTGCTGGGAGACACACCCCCGCCTGCTGGGTGCTGACGGGCTTGCCAAGGTGGGGGGAGAAGCAGGGGCCTTGCCTCTCCTGTTGGCCTTGGCCCTGGACTGGACACCAGCTTGAGAACCCTCTTGTTTTTCCAGAAACGATTTTGAAAGCATTTGGTACAGACATCTGATGACACATCAGCCTTAACTTTCCTCCCTCTGGACATGAATTACGAGGTTTTTCTTTTTCCCTATTCTAGAGTAGTTCCTACATTAGATTTCTAAAATACTTATTTGAAAGGGAAAGTGACACAAAGGGAGAGACAGACAGAAAGATGAATCTCGCGTCCCCAAATGGCTGCAATGGCTGAGGTTTGAGCCAGATTGAAGCCTGGAGGCTGGCACTATATCCAGGTCTCCCATGTGGGTGGCAGGGACCCAAGTACTCAGGCCATCTTCCCTTGCTTTCTCAGGTGCATTAGCAGGAGCTTGATCGGAAATGGAGCAGCCAGGACTGTGACCTGGCACTCTGGTATGGGATGCTGGCATCACAGGTAGCAGCTTAGCTCACTGTACCTATCCACCCCACCAGCAGCCTCAGTACATTAATTTTTAAGCAAAACCCTGAAATGGCTTTAAGCTGTTATGAATGCTTTTGAGGTGGAGAAGGTGTAAATAATAGATGAAAAGAGGAGAGGATTACAGCCTTCTGACAAGCTAGACAAGCCCCTCCTCGGGCCTCCTGGTCCCTGGGGAGGGCCGCACCTCTGGGTACAGCTCCTTGGAAGACCTTGCTGGCCTGGAGACTTGTTTATGAGACCTCTCCCTACTCCTCTTCCTAAGGATGTTGGAGATACTGGTGGAGCTGGGTAGTCAGTGAGGGCAAATAAAGTGGGACATTTCCTTGTTTATGCCTCACAGGTTTTAGCATGGAATTGGCTAGAAGTGCACCATGATCTTGTAGAGCAGAGTTGGGGCGGGGCAGTCACAGCTACTCCTGAACCCTGAACGTACACAGTTCTGCTTGCCAGCCAAGGGAAGATGGGTACCTCCCTTCTCTTCCTGAGGCATTTGAGCAGCTCCCAGCCTTCTTATTGGGAGGGATTGCTGAGTTGCCTTGTAAATTTTCTGCATGTATGAGCTCTTCAGAATGTCTTATGCTGTAGCTGGGGCTTTAAAAAAATTAATTATTGGAACCAACATGGTGGCATAACAGGCTGATCTTCTGTCTGTCGATGCTAGCATTTCTTGTGGGCTCCAGTTCAGGCCTGGCTTCTCCACTTCCATTCTAGCACTCTACTATGACCGGTGAAAGCAACAGAGGATGTCAAGTCCTTGGACCCTCATACCTGTGTAAGAGACCAAGAGCAAGCTCCTGGCTCCCAGCTTTGGATCAGCTCAACTCTAGCTGTTGTGGCCATTTGGGGAGTGAACCAGTGGATGGAAGATTCTGTCTGTAAAATCTGCCTTTCAAATAAAAATAAAGAAATTTTTTTTTTATTTGAAAGAGAAAAACAGAGAAAGAGCTCTCTCCCGTCTGCTGGATCATTCCCTAAATGTCCCCTGTTGATGCTGAGCCAGGTCAAAACCAGTGAAACTAGAACTCCATCTGGGTTTTCCCTGTGGGTGCCAGCGACTTAGTTACTGGAGTCATCACCTAGTGCCTCTCCAGGAAGCTGGAGTGGAGAGCAGAGTGTGGACTTCTACCAGGCACTGCTATGGGGTGTGGACACCCGTTGTGCTAAACACCCATGTCCTAGCGGGGTTTTTGGTGAAGGCATAGATGTGTCAGTGAGTGGCCGGCTGGCAAACAGGAGGCAGCACCCGCATAGCTCCTGAGCAGTAAAGGTAGGCACTTGGTGGAGACTGGGGTTTTGTTTACTCTGTCCTGGGCAGGCCGCCACTTGAGAGAGACATCTGTCCAGTGTTTGTTCTCCACTAATTGCCAGTGCTAATAGGCTATGTTAGAGAGTGAAGAGTAGCCAGGGGCCCTTCAGATATTAGTGTAATGAGCTTTCGCTGGGTGAGCCGCTCTCCTGGCCCCTGTGGAAATGGGAAATAGATGAGGAAGTGGCAGGTGGAGGCCTCAGGAGCAGGAAGGTGGTTTCGGATCAGAGTTGAAAAGGAAGTAGGAGAGCAACCCAGTGTTGCAGAACTGAAGTTAACAAGTACATAAAGCAAAACCCTGTGTCCCTGGCTGGATCCCGCCTCTGCTGCTCTGGGAACTCCTTCCCACTTGCTCATCTGTGAAGTGGACCTGATAGTCCCATAAGGCTGTCATCGAGGTGCTTCCTTTGAAAGTCCTTTGGAAACCATAAGTCGCTGTCATTATTGTAATTTCCCAGCTGACTTTGCTGCGCTTTTAGGGAGAAGTGTTTGCTCACCAGTGCATCTGGAGGACCCTGCCTGTCACAGCTATCTGTGTCAGCATAGCTCCCCTGAAGGAAGCAGCACAATGTTTGTGAATGCACAGGCATCTCGGCAATGTTAGATGTGAGGGTGATGGAACAAATGGGGACACCAAGCCCAACTGTGTCCCCCAACCGTCCAAGACAGTCAGAATGTGGGTCCCATGCAGGATGCAGTGACCCTGCAGCTCTAAATCTGAGATAGAAGGGGCAGTAGACCCCCTTGGTTCAGGAGAGCAAGTAGGTATTTGGGGGCCACATTCCTGAGTAAAGAATATTGAACTTGGGAGCCTTGAGGTAGCTGAGAAAAATCCGAGTCAAGTCAGTTTAAGCAAAAGAGAAAATTCTAGGCTCTGAGAACTGAAGGTTCAGTTGTCAGTTGGTTCCTGTGTCCAGGGAGTCATCTGTCTGTCAGCCCAGCTGTCCTTCGTGCTGGCTTTGTGTGTGGGCCCCCCTTTCGTTTAATGGTGGTGCAGACACTGCAGCCCCAGGCAGTTCCAGGCTGGAGCAGACTCTGCTCCCCACAGAACCAGCGCCTGCATTGGAAGAGGGTTGTGACTGACAGACAGGAGTCAGGTGTGCTTCCTGAGCACGCCTCAGTATCTGAGATAGGTATCCCTGGTTGCCCCTGAGTCAGGTGCTTGAATCACAGGTTGGTCTCTGCGGAGCCTCGAGCAAAGGCGTCAGCCATACCACCAGCCTCTTGGACAGAACATGGGAAGATCATTGCCTAATGAGATATCAGACATCCCCTGGTATTGCCTAAGGTCTTGTTGCCCTAGAGAAGTCATCTTGGACATGCCTGGCAGAGGAGAGAAGCCAAAGGACTGTGTGTTGTCCAAGGCAGTTTTTGATTTATTATTATTATTATTTTATTTTGATGATCTTTACATTGTTGATGAGGGTTCAAGGGTGAAGAGCTACTGGAAAGTTGGTAAGACCATTGCTTCCACATTCTCTTTTTTTCCTTCCTGTATCATTCAGCCTCCCAGCCATCCCAGGGATCCCAGTGTGGGGCATGCTTCGAAGGCACTGCTCAAGTGCTTCCGATAATTCAGCAGTTCCAAATTGCAGCCAATCTCACCATACCAAGCACAATTAGATTTTTCTAGAATCCACGGGCTGACGTAGTTCACCTTAGAGTCTCCGTTTGCCCAGCTATTTACACTGCCAACACTTGGCTGAGGTAGTTGATCCATTTGTTCTGTCCTCTGTTGTGGTACAAGGTATCCTCTGCAAGCTCCAATGTACTGCCATATCCTCCATGTGCACCTGGATATGCTGACCACTGCTCCGTCTGAGCCACTGAGAAGGTCCAGCTCTGACACATGCACTCCATGGTCAGACCATGGAACCTGCAGTTCTCTTCATAGATGGGGTTCTGAGTCCAGTGATTGAGTTGGGGGGATCCCCAAAGAAACTTCATCTGAGGTGATCCCAAAACTGATTCTTGTGTGTACTTGCCAGTACAGGACCCGGCACAGTCCATCGCCCCAATCAGCTTATGCACATGATGGGTACCATTGCTGGGTCAGTTCTGCCTCCAGCCCTGTCTTCTACACAAACAAATGGGTATTGCAGTCCAGCCCAATCCTGCCCACTACATACTCCCACCACATACTCGGCCCTCATGCAATCCAATGGAAGCTGCAGCCTAGTTGGAGCAACCCGCAGTAACCCTCTCCAGGGCTGCCCCCTGCCCTGGTCCCATACCTACCAGTATGTACAGCAGACTGGTCTAGTTTATCCCACATCCTATTTAGCTCTCATACATATCAATGGGCATTGAAGCCTAGTTCAACCCAACTAGCCCCACTACCTAGCCCAGACACATGCCGGTGGATGCCACTCTGTCTAGCCATGTCTGCCCCAGTCCTGGTTCTCATGCTCACCAGTCATAGTTATAGCCCAAGAGGGCTGTGCCCATTGTTTCCCTAATGGGCCCATTCCACTCTCCAGGTGGTTCTGCAGGTTGACTTGACAGAATAGCTCCCAGTGCCAGCATCTGCCAGCTGATGCTGCAGCAAAGCCCAACCAACCCACACCCAATCTGGATTATGCATGTACCAGTAGGAACAGTCTGACCAGCCAGGCTTGTCTGTTATCGAGGTTACGTGCAGGCCAACAGTTGTAGTAGCACTGTCTGATCTGGTCTGCCCCCATCCCAACTCAAGCTTTCCAGTGAGAGCAGTGACCCAGCAGGGAAGCCCCATGCAACCTCCCTACTGACTTTGTCCTTTCCCCTCTGGGTCTCACGTGTGCTGGTTGTGCGTTGCAGCCCAGTCTGGCATGACTGACCTCAACTTGGCATTTGCCAGTGGGTGCTGTAGCCTGGCCTTGCCCAACGCAGTCCCCATTCTAGCTCATGCTGGTGGGGCTGTAGTCTAGCCCAGCCCAGCCTGTACCCAGTCCCAGCCCTCATGTGTTGTGACTGAACCTGGTCTGACCCTCATTCCATTCTGGTGCTCAGGTTCACCAGCGGGTGATGTGAACCGAGCTAGGCTGTCACATCTACAGGTTTGCATGAGCCAGGGATGGGAGCAGACTGAGCAGGGACTGGGGCCAGGGCAAGTCAGGCCAGGCTGCAGCGTACGAAGGTAAAGGTCACGACAGGTGAAGGATTATGCCAAGCTGGGTTAGAGCAACCACTGAAACATGTAAGATCTATGGCTGGGAACAAGCCTGCTTGGGATACCCTGGGGACACCCTGGCTGGATTGTGGTTCCCACTGGTGAGAGCAGGGGCCATAGTGGGAGATGCATTCTGGTCTGGATATGGATGCAGGTTTTTTTTTTTTTTTTTTTTTTATTTCTATTGGAAACTCAGATATACAGCATTCCAAAACTATAACAAAGGTGTGTCAGGAGCTCATGGTGTCTGTGGACTCACATGCAGAGATCTGTCAACTTTATGTGAGAACACTTTTTTTGTTATTTCAACAAAAAGCCTTAATTTTTTTTTTTTTTTTAAATCAGGGTATCCAAAACAATCTTGGGGGAAAAAAAACTTTCCAGTTTCAAAATTGACTGCCAAGCAGCAGGATTTGGGATGCTGTGGTACGGGTCTAAGGATGGATGCAGGTCAGCTGAAACAGACGGAGTGCTCAGAGAGGGGTGACTCCATTGGTGGGTCAGTTCATGGTGGCAGAGAGCAGCATAGAGGTTGCCGGGAACAAAGAGGAAAGCAGAGGGAAGTGGCCGTTACTGCTCCATGCTTTCCGTCTGGGCTGATGAAAGCCTTCTGGCAATGAACAGCGGTATCCATTGCACAATCTCTTGAGTACTCTCTGTGCCCCTCAAGGAAGCACCCAAATGTGGTTTCTGTGGCAAGTTGTATGGAATGTGTGTCTACCACCACCACCAAAAACAGAGGAATGGAAGTTCGGGTGAGCAGGAATTAGTCTCATAGTCAGAGTACAGGAACTGAGTCCCAAGTGTGCAGTGGGATCTGGCTGTGGGATTTCCTCTTGAGTTTAAATGCTAGATTATTTGTACTAATGGACAGCAGTGCTGTTTTTGAAACAGGGCATGGAGCTTAAGCAAGATGGCCTAGGTGGGGTCTGGTGCTTCATGTCATATTTCCACTGCCCTGTGGTAGGGGGTGAAAGACTGAATTGCCTAGGAACACCTATGGTGCAAAATCACTTGGTCAGACTCTGTGAGAGCAATTACAGATGGGACTGGAAGTCCAGTGGGTCTATGGCAGTGAAGGGGATGAGTGTGTAGGGCCCACAACTGAGATTTTTTTATGGTGGATAAGTTTCCCAACCTTGGTGTGGGGGCACCAAGAAGGACTGGGGTTTCTGTCACCCACTCTGACTGGACCATGCATTTGCGTGGCTTTGTTTTTTGGCTAACCGTTTTGGAGCAGGTGGGATGGGGCTTTCTGCTGACCTTGGAGTCTGATGCGATACCTGTTTTCTCCCTGGACAGAAAAGGGGGATTTCATCGCACTGGATCTTGGTGGATCTTCCTTTCGGATCCTGCGAGTGCAAGTAAATCACGAGAAAAAACAGAACGTCCACATGGAGTCTGAGGCCTATGAAACTCCTGAAAACATCGTGCACGGCAGTGGGAGCCAGGTGGGTTCTGGGGTGCCTCTGGCCATCAGACTTCTCTGACTGAGCCCCTGGAGGAGATACTGGGAGGAGTCTGCAGCCGGTCTGTCTGGACAAGGGCTTTTGGATGGGCAAGCGTGGTGGCTCCTGAGGAGGGCTGGGCAGTACTTGGAGAGGTGCCCAAATGCTTGCTCTTGCGACAAATGGGGAGAAAACATCTGTAGGTACTGGAACTTTCTCAGGGTGGCAGGAGTGAGGAGAGGCCCTGGCTTTGCCAGCTCTGAGCCTCCTTCCCTGCAGCCCCAGGACTGCTTCTGCAGCAGTTTGAATGTAGCCCTTGTAGGAAATGTTCCTCCTCCAGGTTTGGGCTCCATGCCCCACAGGGTGTCGCTGAGGCTTCACGGAGCCAGCATTCAAGTTCCTAGACCCCAGGTGGCCAGGGAGGGCCCCTTCACCCACTCCTGTCTGGCTGGCTCCCAGGAAACCCCTTGGGGTTCTATATTCTTTGGGTCCCCTGAGCCCAGCCTCTCCTCTGGACCTTTCTACTCTCCCACCCTGTCCCCGTGTCCTGAATGAGGGCCTTGGTCCAGGATGCCGACTCAGGGTGTGCCAAATGTTTGCTCTAGGGAGAGTGTTAGCACGGCAAGTTGATGACTAAGGCTTCCCGAGAACCCAGTGGTTCTGGGGTGGACTTTGAGGTGAGACCCAGGAACCCCTCCCCTGGCCTCAGTGCACATGGGTGGGACCAGAAACAGGCTGCCAAGCCTTTCTTTATCCAGGGACTAATCCTGGCCTATGACCTGCTTCCTGGAGTTTAGGTGAGCACCAAAGGAGACACTGTCCCTGGAGTAGGTGGGGTGACTTGATGGGCAGCTACTGAAGTGTACATGTGTCACTCAGGGGCCAGGTCTACCTGTGGGTTCCCCAAGAGCCTTACATCTCTGGATTGTCAAGACCGGCCACTTCATCCCATGTGTGCATATGACGACCAGAGGACAGGTTTCCTAGCTATGGCCAGTTGGCAGCTGCATTGGCTCCGTTTTGCAGGTGGCTAGCGGCTTGGCATTCTGCTTGTACATTTGGAAGCTTGCCCTGGCCCAGCACTGTGTCCCTGTGGTTCCAAGTGACCCGATCCTGGTACCTTCAACCACTGGGACTCTTGGCATGTGCTCTGTGGGCTGACCCTTTAGGAGCCGGTGGCAGGGGCAGGGCAGGTCTGCAGTTGCACATTCAATGCATTTACTTCCACAAGAACTTCCTTTTCACCACTGCTGCCCTTCCTAACTACCCTCTTCATCACTCCCAGCCTCTGCCCTCTCCTTCTCTTCTCAATCTCAGGAAACGTCCCCCCACCCCCATTTTTTTTTTTTTTTCTGTTGTCTCTTTGTCTCTGTTTCTTCCTTTGCCTCCTTTGAGGGATATAATAATGACAATGGTAATGTAGGGTTACTGTGCAAACGTAGTACTTGCTTGAACTTACCTAAGCACTTTATGTGTATTACCTCATTGGGTCATCACAGTAGCTCTGGGGGGTGGATAGGTGTTGCTGCTACTCTTATTTTTACAGATGGGGAAATTGAGGCTCATGTTTCGTAATGAGCCACATGGTAGAATTAGGACATGAATGTAGGCAGTCTAGATCCAGTTGCTGTAGTTTCAGCAGCTTGGAACTTGGGGCCTGAGCTTTGCCTTGTTTGTTTGATGGTGTGGTGGGCAAGAAGAGTTGAGCAGGGAGGGGAAGAGAGCAGGTAGTTGGAAAAGAGGGATGAAGCGGGGGTTCCCTTGCAGGAGTTTGCTGCTGGGCTAGAAGTACATGTTGGTGGTCCCTTCTCCTGAGCCCTTTCCCTGGCCCAGACAGTGCCCCCACTTCCCTACAGAACCTTCTAAGGTTGGACTCACAGATTGAGCAGTAGCCACTTCTGGGGACAGCTGCCCTAGAGGGGATTCCCATCTTCTGTCATGTATGGGAATTTTCAAGAAGATGGTTCTCCCCTCCCCGTCCAATTTGAAAGGCAGCATTAAAAAGAATCAGATATGTTCCACCCACTGATTCTCTTCCCAAATGACTGGAATGGCCAGGAGCTTCTTCAGAGTCTCCCACATGGGTAGTGGGCTCCGTGGGCTTGGGCCATCTTCCACTACTTTGCCAGGGTCATTAGCAGGGAACTGGATGGGGAGTGGTGTCTGGGACAGGATTTGGGATGCCAGCGCCATAGGCAGTGACTTAATCCACTCCCCACAGTGCCAGTCCTTCGGGTAGATTTGGTAGATTTTTTTTAACCTCTTTATTTTGGATATTAAAGTTACAGGTTTGAAGAAAAGCAGAAACAATCCCTGCATATGCCTTTCATGCAGTTGTTAATTCTTTCCTTTATCCTCATCCTCTTACTTCAAATACATATGCACAGGTACATGTACATGTGCACACATGCATGTCTGCACACATACACATGTGCTCAAAACTGTCCCAGCGTCTCAGTGCAGTTCAGCTTAGGTACAAATGCAGCACTTAGAAAATACCGGTTATTTAATTTGGGGAATTTCAAAACCTAAATGCTGAATGAGCTGCTGGAACACTAGTTCATGTTTCTTTTTAGACACTTGAGTTTTGAATGGTGAGAGTCATGGCTATCTCTTGCTTGTTGACCTAAGACAGAGGTTAACCCAAGGATGGCTTCCTGCCTCTGACCAGAGGTGTCCCCAGCAGTTCCCCTCCCTTCTCAGCAGAGTGCTGTGCCTGTGGGAGGCAACCGCAGGTCCTGTCTGTGCAGATCCGGTCCTGCAGCCTGGGTTCCCCTGGGCACCAGTGCCAGCCTGCCCTTCTTCCTTCTGCCCCAGCTGGTGCTGGGGAGACTGGAGCCTCTGTGCAGATAGTGTGGATATGAGGGTAGACTTAGCGAAGGGCTTATATCAGTCGCCGATATGGGTCATGAGAAGCTTAGCTGAGCCTCAGGGAGGGAGCGGGGTGAGGCTCCACAGGCGGGGGGGTGCCCGCTATAGTGGGGACCTGAGGAATGGGCACCTAGGGCTACAGCCCCCAGTCTCAGATGCTCTCACTGGGTTTTACTTCATGCAAGCACAGAAGCTGACATTAGAGCTGGATCACTGGCATCTGGGGATGGTTGGAAATGGCAGCAAGGACCCTTGACCCCTGTCAGGCACGTGGCCTGTAGGAGCAGACTGGGCAGCCTCATGAGACTGTGGTTTGCTTCTTCTGGTCTGTCCTTCTGGGCACCAGGAAGCTCTATGTTTGTGTCCATCCTTTGTGTGGGGAAGGTGGCGTGAGGTAGAGGGTGGCAGGAGAGTGGCATGACTGCCCAAAGAGCCCATGGATGCCCAGGCTGTACTCACAGAAGTAAAGGCAAGTGAGGCTTTTCTACTAACCTCTCCTCTGGTTGGAAACCAAATGGGATCTTCTGGTCTGAGTGGGCAGGTGAGCCGAGCCAATAGGAAGGTGGGAAGGCAGTGGGGAGTGGGAGCAAGGGGGAGCCTGAGTGCCAGAGCCTTGCATGTGGTGACATGGGTGCTGGTAAGGCATGGTGGGGGCAGGGGACAGCTTGTGAGGATCTAATGAGTGCTGCCCTTCAGATGTATCCCCTGTGTTGGGTTACACTTCATACGGGAGTAAAGTCACCGTCTGACCACCTGTGAAGTCGCTTCCTCTGGCACTCACAGAGGAGCTCTCTGCCAGTTTTCTGTGACTTTCAAGTCTTCTTGGTACCCAGTGACTAATCCTGGATCCCCCCCACCCCCTGAACAGTTTCTCTCCGACATCCACACACAATTCCGGGACCTCATTCCCTGCCCCCCCCCCCCCCCCCCCCCGTGCTTGGGAGGGAAGCAGAAACCTGCCCCACCTGACCGCCCTTCCACACCTGCTCTAGCTTTTTGATCACGTCGCCGAGTGCCTAGGAGACTTCATGGAGAAAAGGAACATCAAGGACAAGAAGCTGCCCGTGGGCTTCACCTTCTCCTTCCCTTGCCGACAATCCAAAATAGACGAGGTAAGAGCGCCCAGGAGCCTGGGCCCTGCAGACACGAAGGGACTGGTTTCCACCAGCCCCCAGCCCCGCTTCCTCCCTGGGTGCCCAGTGGTGTTGTGTTGCAAACATGGGCAGGAAATCAACATGTGGTGCTGATGCAATGCTTGCTTTATCAACTGCTTTCATTATGGACATGCATTTAGAGTAAAGTCCTGGCATTTGTGGCTACCAGATCAGCAGAGCCATCTTATTGACCCTAAACAAGGGAAGCAAAAGAAAGTAGGTCACACACGTCCCAGGCAGAGATAGATCTGGAACACCTCCTTGCCCGTGAGAGCTGGGGGTTGGTTGAGAACAGACTCCAGTGGGCGGTGCCTCACTTGATCTGCCTTGGTCATTTAGCAGCCATTTCCTGAGTGCTAACCTTGGGCCAGGCACGAGGCCAGGCCCTAGGAGACAATAGCTAGGGGAGGCCGAGCCTACCCACCCACTGGAAGATGAAACCTTCCAGGAATGAAGGTGTAGCAGGGAGGGGTGGGGAAGAGCCTGCAGGGTGGAGCCCTGGTGCTCAGGATGGTCTGTGGTAGGTGTCCCACCTACCTGCTTTGCTTCTCATCTGGGCCAGGCTGCCTTGTGAGGCAGTCAGTGGACCACACACTCCCAGCCTGCCATCCAGGGCACCTGTGCATGCTCCTCGAGGCTGGCTTGGCCCTTGGAAACTGTCTAGGTATACGGCAGCAGCCTAGATCTGCAAGGCAGGCCTGGAGAGTGGAGGGAACGGCTCATGAGGCAATGGACCCAGCAGTGTTGGAAGATGCTGGCCATGCCTCCTGGCTTCTGGCACCACACTCATCCCACAGAGTCCAGGGGCTGTGCCTGACTCAGCCACAATGCTGCTCAGCAAGGAACCCCTCCCCAAGACCTGGCCATGGCAGCCTCCAGTCTGCACAGCTATCATAGCAAGCGAGGGTAGGGCCTGAGTGGAAGGGGCCCCATTCCTGTGTCATCCAGGAGGTCCACAAGGCCCAGACAGCCATGTTCCCAGCTCCACCATGTTCATTGGTGGCTAATAGCATTGCTCTGCATTCCCACCAATAGGAAATCCAAAATGGAGTCATCCTGTATGATTTGTGCAGTCAGTCCTCACAGACGAGTTACCCAGGAGGCACAAGTCCCAGTTATCAGCATCATCCCAAGGTGTCCAAGGCCTGGTCTTGGCAGTTCAGCAGCCAAAAATTTTCCTGGCCTGCTGCTTCTCTTTCTACTGTGGCCCTGGATCCTCTCCCGGGGGCTGTGGAAACCTAGGTCTGGTGGGAATTTATCTTGTTCTTCCCCTTTAAAAAATTATTTTCAGCTATTTGGGAGTCAGGGGAGGGGGACAGAGATCTTCCCTCATTCCCCCAGATGATCACTACAGCTGATGCTGGGCCAGGCTGAAGGCAGGAGCTTTGAGCTTAGTCCAGATCTTTCATATGGGTGCCAGGGACCCAAAGACTCTAACCATCACTGCTGCCTTCAAGTTGCACATCAGGAACAAGCTGGAATCTGAAGCAGAATTAGCTCAAACCCAGGCACTTAGATACAGGGACGCAGTTGTCCTTAATCACTGCACCAAATGCTCACCCATCCTGCTCTGTCTTTAAATGGGGTGTGGCTGCACAGCTGATGCCATGTCCCTGTGGCATGCTCTGCCTGTTGGTAGCTGCTTTATGCTGCTGCAAGCTGCATGTTGGGAGTGGCTTCTTCCCCTTGTGGTAGACCCCAGAGAAACCATGTGAGAGTGCATGGGAGGTGGACCAGAGCCAGGCTCCATCACCCAGGAGACCTGGAGAAAGCTTCCCGGCCCAACGGCCTCTGCCTTGTCTGCATCCTGGAGCTGCCCTTCAAGGACTAGTATACCCTAGCTTCATCCTACCCTCCGTCTGTCCTTTGCAGGCCGTCCTGATCACCTGGACGAAGCGATTTAAAGCGAGTGGCGTGGAAGGGGCAGATGTAGTCAAGCTGCTGAACAAAGCCATCAAGAAGCGAGGGGTATGTCCTCTTGGATCCTCCATGTCCTGGCTGTGTGTATGTGGGCTAGTGGGGAAGGAAGTCTGTGTCCCAAGATACAGCTGGATCCTGTGTGGGAGCTGGGGGTAGACAGGGTGGGGAGTATTGCTGGAGTCTGTGGACTCCGGCAGATCAGGGCTAGTCAGAGCTGTCACAGTGCTGCCCATGGGGCAGGCAAGGGATCACTGCCTCCTGGCAGACTTTCCGGGCTCAGCAGGAAGCAGGGGTCCCTGGCTGTGTGGTGTGCTCACTGTCAGGGCACTGGCACCACCCACAAGTTCAGGGTTGGCATGGAAACACGAGGGCTCCTACCAGGTTCTTGTAAGCAGGAGAGTAGTTCAGAACACCCCATTCTGCCTCCCCAGGACTATGATGCCAACATCGTTGCCGTGGTTAACGACACGGTGGGGACCATGATGACATGTGGCTATGATGACCAGCAGTGTGAAGTCGGCCTGATCATTGGTAATGGCCACCCTTTTGCTTCTGGGCAGCACTGAGCACCTCTGTCTCAGCTGGGTCATGGCTTCTCTCCATGTCATCTCTCCCAGGCACTGGCACCAACGCCTGCTACATGGAGGAGCTGAGGCACATTGACCTGGTGGAGGGCGACGAGGGAAGGATGTGCATCAACACCGAGTGGGGGGCGTTTGGGGATGACGGCTCCCTGGAAGACATCCGCACTGAGTTTGACAGGGAGATCGATCGGGGCTCCCTCAACCCAGGAAAGCAGCTGTGAGTAGAAGACATGGGGGACTCTCTGGAAGACATGGGTGGATGCCCAAAGCCAGGTGGCCACAACCAGGAAAGGCCATCATGCTACATGGCTTATCACCCCTTGATGGGGAGAGAGGCATGGCTATGACATCAGCTGCTTTAAAAGCCCACTCATACCACTTTGCTGTGTTTTTGTTTTTAATTTAATCCCATTTTAATTGAGTTGCTGTACATGGCTTTGAGGTTTCAGCACACTACTATGGATTGTGTGCACTGTAGGGTGGGAGGGCTGTGGCTAGGCTGAGGCAGGGATGCTGAGCCAGTGGGGAGAATGTCCATCCACTGAGTGCATACTTGCCAGGTGCTTTGTGGCACTAGGCCCCCAACATTCAAAGCCGCCCATTCCCCAACTCTGTGCTTACTGTCTAGAGGGAAACTGAGTTGTGCAGACCTCAGGGAGCACAGAGCACAGAGAGCCCTCCCATGCCTTGATAGAGGATGTCTTGCTTAAGGGTCAGTTGTCCCTGAGAGCTCCTGAATACTGAGGTCAAAGTGACGTTATTCAGGCTAGAGATGTTGCTGCTTTGAGCTATGTCCTCTGCCACGCCTGCATGCTGCCTGCCCTCATGGCCACCGAGCCTCCCACCAGCCTTAAGCCAGGATTGGTTGTCTGCTGCTGGTTTACAGAGAGGTGGCTGGTGACCTTGTGCCCTCTATGTTCTGATACTAGAGAGAATTTTCAGTGATGTAGTCACACCAAAAATCTTCATCTCCCAAGCTGCAGAGTTGCCCTAATCAATCAGGTGGCGTGATCAAAGCCCAGCTAGCCACCCAGGGGTGGTGGTGATGGTGAATTTATTTATTGATTGATTGATTTGAAAGGCTGAGTTAGAGAAAGAGAGATTTCAATCGCTAATTTATTCCCCAAATGGCCATGACAGCTGGGGCTGCGCCAGGCTGAAGCCAGGAGCCTGGAACTCCATCCAGGTTTCCCAACATGGGTGCAGGGTTCCAAACACTTAAGCTGTCCTCCACTGCTTTCCTAGATACATTGGAAAGGAGGGTCGATCTGAAGTGGAGCAGCCAGGACTCGAACTGGAGCTCACATGGCATGTGGTATCACAGTTGATGGTTTCACCCCATGTACCCCAACGCTGAATTTCTAAGTGCATGGATTCCCAAGTTCTCAGATCCCCAAGTGGAGCATTTGCTGCTCGGGTTGGACTAGGGGTCCAGCTTAGGGTCACAAGGTCCCGGGCCCAAAGCTCCAATGGCTGAAAATGTTTTGTATTGTTTCTCTTTGGTCCACTGACCTGGCCCCTGATCCTAAGATATTTTCTATGCTTATTTGTGTTTTTTTGGGAGCTGTGGTGTGCTTGGTTTCCCCACACTTGCACACACCTGCAGGCACCACTCTGCATCTCCCAAACCCTTACGTCTCCTGCAGTCCCAAGCAGGTGTGGCCCCAGCGCTTGCAGTTTGTAGCTGCTGTTTGTTGCCCTACCTCATCAGAGGTCTGCCTTCTGAGCAGCTATGGTTCAGATGTCTCTAAAGTGCTGCCCCACACCTCCAGGCTGACCTAGGAACTGGGCGTCTGTGGGTGGATGGATGGTTGAAGGATGAATGGCTGGGAGGTGGGTGGATAAGCAGGAGGATAAATCCAAGAGGGAGAAAGAAGCCTGCCTGCTCCTCATGAGTCAGCCTTCCTAAAAGACAATTCCAGAGAGAGGTGACAGATTCCTTTGCTGCCTCACGTGTTTCTGGGAATAGCTGTTGACCTTGGGAGTGTTCTGTCCAGGCAAAGTTCTGCTCCTTTCTCAGTCTCCTTGCTGGATCTCTGGGTCTGTGCTGAGTGTCTTCTGAGGATTGCGGGTTCTTTGGAGCTGTGTGGGCCACTGGCTGACAGGGAGTGGGTGCTCCCACCTCTTTGTTGAGGTTTGACCTCCCGGGGGCTTGCTGTTTTCTGCCTTGTTTGAAAGCATGAGGCTTTCAGAGTAAACAAAGTTTGAAAACTTGGTTGGGTTCGATTTATGCCAAGGCTGTTGGTGCCCATGTGGGCTCTAGACTGCACCTGTTCCTTTCATTCGTTTCAATTGAACCTGGCACTTAGTAGTGTCTGCTGTGCATGTCACAGATTGAGAAGGATAGTGTCACAGTGGCACAACAGCTCTACCTCACCTGGGGTGAGCATCCAGGACCCCATCCTAACCCCAGAGCTGGGTGGTCTCTCTGAGAGGGATCAAACTTCTGCCTTTCTCTGCTCTGCCCTTAGGTCCCAGGCCTTTGGTGTCCCTGTTAAATCCCTCTCTCCTGTAGTGGATTTGGGTTCCCTTTCCTTTCTTTTTCGCTTCTCTTGTCCCTTTGCTCTCCATATCGTGTCTGGAACCTCAAATCTCATTTTCCTGTGGCTTCTTAACTTGCCCTTCACAGTGTAAGGTAATCGTTCTGTGGCCATGGCCGTGGCTGTGCTTGTGGCTATGGCCATGGTGGTCCTTGGGCCGGCTCCTGTGTGCTTTCTCTGCCTCCTTTCTTCCTGTCCCTTTGCCCATGCCACAGACTTTTTAGAGGGCTCTAATGTCCATCTCCTGGCTCTAGGTCTCTTCCTGCCAGCTGGAGCAACCCCAGTTGCCAAGGGGGTGGGGGTCTCCTTATTGGCATGTAAGGTCTTGCTCATGACCACCAACCTTGCCTCAGCCCTGCTGGGCGACCAGGAGGCAGCACAGACACAGCAGCATGGCCTGGCCCGTACTGGTGGGGAGCATAGCTCATCAGATTTCTGTGGCAAAGATGGGAACTCCAGAGCCTGCTTGAGCAGAGAGGGTTAGTGTGGGGGAAGGGCGGTGCTGGTTGCAGCCACAGCTGCTCAACTAGAGACTGCTAGAGGGCAGACTTTTGCCCTTCAGCCTCATTCTTCTGGAAAGTGCATGCATAAAAGATCACCATCTAGGGAAGACCATTCTGGGTGTTGCTAGAAGGCAGGATGAGAAGCGATGTTTGGAAACACTTAGAGGCTGTTGTCAGCTGCTCCCTATTGGCTCTCAGCAGAGAGACACACTGGCCCAGAGAGGAAGTCAGCTGAGGTGGAGAAGTGGAGGCAGGCTTAGGAGTAGGGCAAGGTGACTACCAGTTTGGCTGGGCTACCTGACACCGAGGGACTCCACTTCTGAACCGGCAGAGCCACACGGCAGTTAGAACACAGCCTCTGGGGTTCTGTGCAGTTGGGTTCAGCATGGGGAACTTGTTAGCTTTGTACACCAGCAAGTTACAGTGCCTTTATGTTTCTCAGTTTTCCAATCCGTGAAATGGGGAGAATACAGGTGCTTTCCTCATGGGGGGGTGTAAAAGGAATAAAATAAGGGCCCTGGACAGTTGATAGCAGTCAGACTCGACACAGGAGGGGACACTGTCCTTGTCCCCATTTACCCAGGCAAGGAGGCCGAGGCCCCCGGGCTGTGCCTGAGCCGTCTGGGCATGTGCAGCTCCTGCTGGCTCAGAGATGCCAGGCTGTTGCGTGGGCGCTCAGCAGCACCCAGGCAGCCAGGACTCCCTCCCAGGGATCCTCGGCGTGGCCACAGCCAACATGGTCCTGTCCAGTCCTGCCAGCAGTTAACACAATGAAGACTGTGTTTCCAGCAAGGCTCTGCGCCATGCTCTGGGGCAGGGCGGGACATTCAGGCCCCAACTGCACCCCTTGCCTCCCGGGCCTGCCGACCAGAACAGCTTGTTTGGCTGGTCACTGCCGGCTCCCTCGGGGAGCCTGTTTCCTTCTAGGGCTGGCTCTGGCTCAGATATGGCCGCAAACGTTGGCCTCTGACTTAGCCTTCACGTGCACGTGTATGAGTATCACCTGCAGTCTTGGGCTGCATGTGGTCTCCTTTCTTCCAGCAGCATTGGACTCAGAAAAGTAGCTGCTGCAGCCAAAGAGCCACCCATCATACCACACTCCCTGGCCCCAGGGAGAGCCAGTTCACTTTCATTGGCCTGTGCCTGAACATGGCCAGGTTGGTGGAATGAGCTTATTGGCTTTGAGTTTAGGATAAGGTCAATTGTGTCTTGGGCCTGGCACCTGATCATAGTAAGGCTAAACCTCCGGCTGTGGTGCCAGCATCCCATATGAGCACCAGTTCATGTCCTGGCTACTCCGTTTCTGTCCCAGCTCCCTGCTTATGGCCTGGGAAAACAGCAGAGGATGGGTCAAGTACTTGGGCTCCTGTACTCATGTAGGAGACCCAGAAGAAGCTCCTGGCTCATGGCTTTGGCTCATTTCAGCTCTGACCATTAAAGCCATGTGGGGAATGAACCAACAGTTAGAGGACCTCTCTGTCTCTTCTCTCTGTAACTCTACCTTTCAAGTAGAAATTATTTTCTAAAGTGTGCCTTGTAGTTTTGTAAGAGCTTATCCTCCTATAAGCCTTCCCATGTGCTATGTCCCATGTAGACCATGAGGTTGCTCCTGCCCTGTGGCGTTCCCTGGGCTACCTCTCGCTGGAGTTGGCTTTCCCTCTCCGATGTAGTCACCCACGAGCTGGGCTTGCCCGCCAGCATGTGCCTCCTGTGCTGCAGATTTGTTCTGGCATTGGTGCCCAGGAAGGACTGACAGTGCCCATGTGTCTTCCTCCCGCAGGTTTGAGAAGATGGTCAGTGGCATGTACATGGGGGAACTGGTCCGGCTGATCCTAGTCAAGATGGCCAAGGAGGGCCTCCTGTTTGAAGGGCGAATAACCCCAGAGCTGCTCACCCGGGGCAAGTTTAACACCAGCGATGTGTCGGCCATTGAGAAGTAGGTCCTACACCCCCAGTCCTGGTCCTGAGCGTGGTGGGGAGCTGGAGGAGGGCTGTGGGCTGCTCAGTACTACCAGTGGCACTTGAGCTATTCCCCTGGGCTCTTTGAGAGTTCGTTACTGCATGGTCCAGGTAGCAGCAGGTACTTCATGGGTGACCTGTCTGCTCAGCAGAACAGCCCTCTCTCCCAACATCTCTCTGTTGGCTGCTGGGCATAGCAGGGACTGGGAGGCTCTAGAGTCACGGGCAGTCAGGAACAGCCTCCCATTTCTCTTGGCCTATTTCGGGTGGCCTCTTGGTCACCAAGAAAATGAATCCCTAGAACCAGCTCCAGAATGCATGTGAATTGTAGTGAAGCCCTCTCCCCAAACACATCATGCCAACGCAGATGTCAGTGACATCCGCTCTGCCATCCACGATCCACAGCTCAGCACTGTGGTGGACTCTGAGCCTGTGTTGAAAGGAGGCCCGCATTGTGGGATGTGGGCATCTCACCAGGTAGATATAAGCTCCCTTGCATGCTCATTTCATTTTTCCATACATTTTCAAGTACCCCTGTAAGCATGTGTTATATTTTTATAAAGATGTCATTTACACTCATACTACACTATTAAATACTTGACTCAACCAACAAAAGGTCCAAAAGTCACATAAGCAGAAAACTAGAATTTGAAGTACATCACAAAAGGAAGGACTCCCAGACTCCACGACAGCTAGATTCCCAGAGTCTTGTGAACCTGTTTCTGGGGTGCAGCAACTGCATCCTCCCCCCTCATTCTCCTGTTCGTAACATGTCATAGCCCAGCCTGATGTTTTCCCACAACTATCTACTCTGCTTGGGCACTTGAATATCAGTTAATTCACTTACCTGAAAAGCTGAGACAGAGCTCTCCAATTGTTTGGTGCATGTTACAATGCCCCAAAGATCCAGAGCTGGGCAGATCACTCAGTCCGTGGGCAGCAGGGAGCCAGTCCTTGAGCCATCACCCTGGGCGAGCACTAGCAGCAGGCAGAGCTGGGACTCCAGGATCAGATGTGGGCCTCTGAAGTGATGTCCTAACCCCTATGCCAGACACCTGCTGCGTGACTGACAATCTAATCCACATCCTACAGGCACCTGCCAAGGTTCCTGGCTTCTACCTGGCTGGGAACTCTGGGCCTGGCATGCTTCACGTTGCTTGCTGTGGTCCTTAACACCTGTGTGCCGTCCTCTCCCCTTACAGGAACAAGGAAGGCATCCACAATGCCAGGGAGATCCTGACCCGCCTGGGCGTGGAGCCATCCGATGACGACTGTATCTCCGTACAGCACGTGTGCACCATCGTCTCCTTTCGCTCAGCCAACCTGGTGGCTGCCACACTTGGTGCCATCTTGAGCCGCTTGCGTGATAACAAGGGCACGCCCAGGCTGCGCACCACGGTCGGCGTTGATGGCTCTCTTTACAAGACACATCCACAGTGAGTCAGCCATTGGCTGTCATTGGCATGTGATGCCCATTGAGGCCTGGGGCCTCCTCCTCCTGGTCAACTTCTGTACCTGTTTGGGTACGAATGTCCTTAGCCTATTGTTGCTGGTGTTGCTCTGTGCCCCATCATCTCTCCTCATTCTGCCACAGCTGCCTCAGGGACAGGGCAGAGTGTGTGTGGTTCCTTATCATAGTGTGGATCCCACCAGCAGCAGCACTTGTGTTCTTGGTGTGGAAGCACCTGTTATAATCGCCTAAGTACTCAGATGCCACTTTTTAAAATTTACTTCCCTACTAAAGTTGTATTTATTTTGAGAACAAAGAAACAGAGAAATCAAAATTTCCCACTCACTGGTTCCTTCCCCCAGAGCCCTCCATGGCTGGGACTGGACCAGGTCCAAACTCAGAGACAGGAGTACAGTCCTGATGAATGGCATGTCCCACATGGGTGCCAGCAACTCAGATGAGCCATCATCACTGTTCTCCAGTGGTCTGCATTAGCCAGAGAGTGAAATCAGGAGCTGGCACTTGGTGTTAAACCCGGGACCTGGGATATGGGGGGCCTTAATGAGCAGGCTGCATGTTATTTTTAAGTGAGCAGCTTGTTGACCGTTGGCACCTTTCAAGCCAGAGGCAAGGTATGGATTCCAAGGCTGCCCCTTGATGTGGAAGCTACATCCACGGTCTGCAGGCTGATCTCAGCTTCCACAGACTGCGTGGGCAGGAAACCTGTGGCTCAAACCTGTGGGTCAGCTGTGCGTTGTGTCCATTTCCCCGGTGACTACCTGGGACCTGATTGGTTTGTGCAGGACATCGATGTTTCCCTGTGTGCATAGAATGTGCATGTGCATCAGCATCCAGGTGCTATATCTTCAAGCTAGTTTCTGTGACTTTGACATTGAACATGTCCTGGCTCAGGCTCAGACGGTTCTAAGGGACAGAGGTGGAGCCGCTTGGGTGATTTATGCACTAAGTTCATAGTTTTACCACCTTTTCAAAAATTAGTAAAAATTGTTGATAATAAAACCAGCCATTTTTTTCTTTACTTTTATGATTTATTGATTAATTTTTTTTTTTAACAAGAAAGCCTAACAATTACATATTGAAAAGCTTTTTGGCCTGGCACAATAGCCTAGTGTCTAAATCCTCACCTTGCAACCTCTAGGATCCCATATGGACTCTGGGTCGTGTCCTAGCTCCTTCACTTTCCATCCAGCTCCCTGCTTGTGGCCTGGGAAAGCAGTTGAGAATGGCCCAAAGCCTTGGGACCCTGCATCCGTGCGGGAGACCTGGAAGAGCTCCTGGCTTCGGATTGGCTCAGCCTTGGCCTTTGTGGTCACTTGGGGAGTGAACCAGCAGACGAAAGATCTTTCTGTCTCTCCCTCCCTCTGCTTATCTGTCTTTCTAATGAAAATAAATAAATCTTTAATTTTTTTTCAAATTGTTGTTAAAAACACATAACATGTCATGCAAACCATTTTTATCAGTTAAGTTTTATTTGAAGGACAGAGTGATTGTGAAAGAGGAGAGAAAGATTGTCCATTTGCTGGTTAATCCTCCAAAAGCCCATGATGGCCAGAGCTAAAGCTGAAGCCAAGAGTCAGGAACTCCGTTAGGGTCTCACCTGGGCGGCAGGAAGCCATCATCTTGGGCCATCTGCTGTCCTCCCAGGTGTTAGCAGGAAGCTGGATCAGAAGCAGAGGTGGAACATGAACCCTAGTGCCACGATGTGAGGTGTTGGCATCCCTGGAGGTGGCTTAGCCCTCTGTGTCACAGCGCCTGTCCTCCTGCGCCACTTTAGAGTGTGCAGTTCAGAAGATGCACTAGCTCCTTGTTACATGGAATACAAAGTCGTTTAGGGCTGCAAGTTTTTTTGTGTCTGATGCTGACATAACAGAATCCTTCCTCCTTACGTGTGTGTGTGGCCGGCCATGTCTCATGTTTCCTCATCTCGGTTGCTATCTCTTCTGCAGCCCATGTGCGTTAAAATCCAAGGCAAGTATAGGTGGTAGCCTCCGAATGTAGAGAAGAGGGAACTCCATGAGCCCCACTCCCTCCCCAGATAGCGTTCCAGCTCCCATGACGGGTCTCCCTCCCTCTCCCCAGGTATTCCCGGCGTTTCCACAAGACCCTGAGGCGCCTGGTGCCCGACTCGGATGTGCGCTTCCTGCTGTCGGAGAGTGGCAGTGGCAAGGGCGCTGCCATGGTGACGGCTGTGGCCTACCGCCTGGCTGAGCAGCACCGGCAGATCGAGGAGACCCTGGCCAACTTCCGCCTCACCAAGGAGATGCTCCTGGAGGTAAAGAAGAGGATGAGGGCCGAGATGGAAGCGGGGCTAAGCAAGAAGACACATGAAAAAGCCGTGGTCAAGATGCTGCCCTCCTTCGTCCGCAGCACCCCTGATGGCACTGGTGAGCTGGCGACCCCCTTCAGCCTTCACTTCCTGATTTGTCCACTGACTTGTTGCATGCATGGTTGGGGGTCATTAGCATTTCTGTTGCTAGTTGCATTAGCCTCCTGCCTTGGCACTGCCTCAAGCCTCGGCTCTGACCGCTGTAGAGGGTGCAAGTGAGGCTGAGCAGATGCTTGGTAAAGCATCACTCCCAAATGTGGCAAACCTATAGGGGCCCCCTGCGCCCTGGTGGGGGGCCTGCAGTGGGGATGGGATGGTGGGGAAAGGTGGGGGGAAAGTATCCATTCCCCAGGGATGAACTTGCTGGCCCTCTCTAGAGCTAGGTCCTGTGAGGAGTCAAAAGAGCTGCTTGGTGGAGCCTGGGAGCAAGGCATGTTTGTGACGCAAGTGTGCCATTCCAGCTGTGTGGCCTGAAACCACCATCATTTGGCACTAATGCTTGGACAGCTGGGACAGTACTGCTCATTGGGGCTGGGCTCTGCTGCTCGGCTGGACTCGCTCTGCCTCTACAATCGGCTGGGAGGCCAATCTCAGGCTGCTGGGGTTTAGGGTACCTGGCTAGGTGCCTCTCTCTCCAGGGGGTTACCTGGCTGCACACAAGGGAGAGGGAAGATTCAGGCCTCCAGGAGGCCAAGACTGGAGGCTGACTCAGATTTGCCTCTGAAGCCACTCAAACCAAGCCAGATTCCCAGGAGGAGCAGCCTGCCTCCTTTGGTTACAGTGCCAAAGAAGCCGGGAGGGCCGCTTCTGCAGGTACTTAATTGTGTTGGCATAAATCACTTTGACTCCGGGCACCACAGTTAGGTTCTTTAGGAAGCCCAGCAGAGTTGGTTTCTGGTGGCAGGTGGTTCAAGCCTTGGCCTTTGGCCCTTCCACATGGCCCAGTCCTCCAGTAAGCCTGTGCCATGCAGGAGGGAAGGATTCTAGCCGCTCACCCTGAGTTACCTTGAGGGTTCCCTGCTGGGAAGGCTGTCATCTTGGAGTCCCTGGCTGCCTCAAGTCTGCGCTCCACTGTTGGTGACATTCTTTCCTTTGCTTGCTCCAGAGCACGGGGACTTCCTGGCCCTGGATCTTGGAGGAACGAATTTCCGCGTGCTACTGGTAAAAATCAGGAGTGGGAAGAAACGCACGGTGGAGATGCACAACAAGATATATGCCATTCCCATCGAGATCATGCAGGGCACAGGCGAGGAGGTGAGACTACCCTGCCTGGCTCCGCTGTGTAGCCCACACCTACCAGTGGCATAGGGGGTCCTGGGATATCCCAGACCTTCCCTGTGATTCCCCACAGCTGGGCGCTGTGGTCAGCTCAACCATGCCTGGCCTGTCAGGCTGCAGGAACTGGGCAGTCCTGGAAAGGGGAGCTGCTGTGTGTGTGTGTGTACGCGTGCACAAAATTGAATGCTGCAAGGGTAAAGGCGGAGACAGCATGGGTGTCCCTCTTGCCTCCTGAAGCTCTTTGACCACATCGTCTCCTGCATCTCCGACTTCCTGGACTACATGGGCATCAAAGGACCCCGGATGCCACTGGGCTTTACATTCTCATTCCCCTGCAAGCAGACAAGCCTGGATGCGGTGAGTGTGGGGCAGGGCCAGCTCCTCTGAGGGCCACTGCCAGCCTTGGAGTCATCCCTGTGTGTGGGACTGACTGCTCACATGCCAGGGGACTGGCCAAGGCTCCACTCATACCCCGGACATCTGTTGAACCCCCTCCACTCCTCTGCTGGCATGCCCTGATCCTCTGCTTATGATCTTAATTACAACTTGTCCCATGATTGCTGGTGGCCGCTGGGGAATGTCCCATCGAAGGTCAGCTGGGCACTGAGCTCTGGGTACAGAAGCAGGGATCACAGTTTTGGCTCTTAGGGAGCCCCCATGTGTTTACCCCCACTGGCCAAGGCTGTGTATTGGACTTGGGGGTATTGTAGGCACAGGGAACCCATTGTGCAGTCACCCAGGCAAGACTGGACATGGCCCAACCTGCTGAAGAGCTGCAGGTAGCACTGCGTATCACAGGAGGCCCTGGAGTTGGTGTCCAAGGCCATGGTTGAGGGGAGAAAGCCAGGTGAGGCCTCCTGCCTGGCTCAGAGCCGCTTTTCTTTTTAACATCTTTGGGCATCAGCAGTTGCATCTGTCTCCATTTGGAGTTTTTGTTTTATTTTTTGTCAAAATATTTTTCAAAGATTTTTTTTTTATTTGAAAGGCAAAGGTACAGAGAAAGATCTTTTGACTTAATCCCCAAAATGTCCCCAATGACCAGAGCTGGGCAGGTCCAAAGCTAGGACATGGGAGCTTCCTCCTGGTCTCCCACCTGAGAGAGCCTGTGCTGAGCCATCCTCTGCTGCCAGGATATGAACTGGCACCCATGTGGGATGTTGGTGCCATAGACGGATTCTTAGCTTGCTATGCCACTGTGCCAGCCTATCTGGCAGGGTTTTTTGAAAGGTCTGGTGACTTTTTAAGAAGCAGTTTATTTATGCCCTCACCTTGTTTCTGCCATAGGGAGGACACCCCACATTCCCACCCTTCCTCCCCATAGTGTATGCTGTCATGACAGTGAAACTTTGCTTTAGGGGACCTTTGGCGACATCAGTGGGCTGAGAATCAAGAGATCTGGGATTTTGTCCAGTTAGTTGCCAGTTGATGAAAGCCATGGGTGCCCTGGGTTTCCCCTTTGAGGATTGGAGGGGCAGAGGTGGCTAGCTGGAGTGCTGTGAGGACAGGAGTGGAGGGGAGGGGCGGCCTGCTGCACTGTCCAGGATATAGTGGTTTATGTTGCAGAGTCTGGATCCCTGTCTGTTTCCTGGTCCTGGGCAGGGACTCATGTGGGTCACATGGTGCCTCCCCTGCCCCATCTGGGTTTCAGGGCATCTTGATCACCTGGACCAAAGGCTTCAAGGCTACAGACTGCGTGGGGCACGATGTGGCCACCCTGCTGCGGGAAGCCATCAAAAGGAGAGAGGTAACGGTTGTGGTGCAAAGTGCGGTGGGTTGTACAAAATCCATACCATGCAGGAATGGTGACCAGACGGTAAAGGCTCCTTGTTGCCTGACTGCCAGGGGCCAGGCCGGGGTAAGCAGCCAGGTTGATCTTTAGCAACATATGACTCAATGCACATCTAGCAAGAAAAGGCATCCCAGATAGCGGCCATGGCCTGCCCCCACTGGCAAGACCTTGGCATCCTGCTATCCAGTGCAGCAGCACACAGGTGTCCCACACTGCTGCCCCAAGGCTGCAGCAAGCCCAGGCAGGCCATCAAGGAATGGCCCCTGCCTTTTGACCGTGGCCCACCCTAGGGATTCCTAATGGCCGGGCAGCAGAGTGGACTGGCAGTTATTCAAGCCAGGCAGAGCTGACCCTTCCCTATAGCCATGCCCCCTTCTCTTCAAAGGAGTTTGATCTGGACGTGGTGGCCATGGTCAACGACACAGTGGGCACCATGATGACCTGTGCCTATGAGGAGCCCACTTGCGAGATCGGACTTATCGTCGGTGAGTGTTTTAGGAGGTCTCCCTGCTTGAGGAAGGGAGGCCCGGGGCTTTCTGGTGAGACAGTGTCCCTGGCAGTCCTGTTGCCACCCCAGAGTTCAGTGCTGGTGAATCCTGTGGTTCTCCGAGGGTCCCTCCCCTATCATCCCACTCCTGTCCACTGGCTGATCCAACACTGAAGAGTTGAGCTGTCCAGGTAGGAGACCTCATGGACTCACCCTGCTGGGGTGGACACAGGCCCATCAGGGCAGCAGCTCCGCTGGGCCAGTGTGGCCGGCTAAGCATCTGAGGCTCCAATGGCATCAGCTCCATTCTTCTCCTGAGGGAGTGTCTGACATGTCCCTGGGTGATGTTTGGGATCTGCAGCTGCTGCAGTGGGTTCTGCAGGTTGCTTGCTTCTGTTCCACTGGCAAGGGTCTGGAACATGCAATCCATGATGCACAACACCAGGGGTGGTCCTGGTTCAGGGTGCTAGGGAATCACCTGGCCTGGCTGCCGTCTGCAGAGTCTTCCTGCACAGGGAGGTACTGCCTCGGCTGCCGGGGCCATTGGCTGAGTGGGAGGGGCCTCTCGCCCTCCCCCCAAGTGCTGGATGCCCTTCTCTTTTGTTGTGAAGCCACTTTGGCTTCTGCAGAAATTCAGAGAGGGAGCAACCCGGGAGGGAAAGATTGTCCAGGGCGGCTCTGGGCTCTGTCTGCTCCTGCACCAGGCCGCTCCCTCCCTGCTGCTCATGGCCAGGCTTGGGACAGTGACACAGCACATTCCCCCAGCAGCCAAGGCCTCACCTTTCTGCCTCCAGGGCCAGGCATGCCCAACAGGGAACAGCCTTAGAGGATGGCCTTGGCACCAGACTCCAGCCACATTCAGAGCAGTCATTTTCTTCCCTTCATCTTTTGATTTCTTCGCTGGGTTCCTCCCAAACCCGCATTTCAGGGTCCTGGCCCTTCTGGTTTCCAGTTTGGATCTAAGAGCTATGGATACCAAGAAGAGGAGAGCTGCAGGGACATTCTTAAGCATTTGTGAATTCTGCTTGTTTCTGCCTAGCAGTTAAAACTGCAGTGAATGCTTCACTCCCATTTCTTCTGTGTGCATGTGTGTGTGTGTGTTTGTATATTTGAAAGGCTGAGTTACGGAGAGCATGGCAGGGTGTCTAAACAGAAAGGCTGGCACAAGGCTCGTTGGATTCACTTCCACGAGGACTGAGCCTGGAACAGAGGAGCATTTCCTTATGTATGTGTTTAGCTTGTTTGTCTCCCTAGCATGGCTACAAACATACATTTAATTGGATATTCTGATGCTATGTGATGGTTATGGACAAAAGGTTGCATCAGCATGCATAGTTCTGGTAATGTTTAACTGGTTTCCCTTAATAGACCTAATATTTCTTTCCCATACATAGTGAGCTGCACAGTGACTGGCACTGGGTACCATCATCCCGTGGTAGCATTTCATCCTGGGAGAGACTACTATCATGAGAAAGAGAGAGAGAGAGAGAGATTTTCTGTCCTCTGGTTCACTCCTCAAATGGCCACAACAGCCAGGGATAGGCCAAGCTAAATCCAGGAGCCTGAAACTCCATCCGGGTCTCCCATGTGGATACAGGGGCCAAGCAACTGGGCCTTTCCCATGTCATTAGCAGGAAGGAGGCTGTATTGAAAGGGAGCATCAGGATTGGAATTGGGGCTCATGGGATGCCAGCATTCCAGCAGTGGCCTAACCCCTTGCCACACAGCTCCAGCCTCTCTGTTTCTTAGCTCCTTATGGACTGGAACAGCATACAGACTGTGATCCTGCCCCAGCCCTCAAGGAAGTACAGTTTTGGCAATAGGCTTTAGTGAGTTTAGGACCAGAACCTAGAGGCTCCAAAGCCTGTGGAAGCCACACTGCAGACCATGTGCACACCCAGGGGAACGAGCCTCTTCCCTCGGGCAGTGGTCAGCACTCATGGAGTTCTGAGCCAGAAAGAGGGGGAGAGATCATCTCATCTTGAGAATGGCCCCTGGGGTCGCCAAGGACATTGCCCTTCCCTCAGCTCGCTGCAGCTGCGTTCCAGGCCACACATGGACAGCAGGATTGTTGAATGGGCGGAGAGCACAGCCACTGTGATGGCTATCGAGGTGGACAACACCCTGGTGTAACGTATCATGTGCGTAGGCATTCATGTGTTCCTGAAATGCACCAGGAGTAGGTGTCACTGACGTGTGAACATCAGACAGCCGTGTCCCTAGGAGATAGGGCCTGTGGCACCACAGTGGTGTTGGGCCACTGGACTGTATGCAGGGTATTTCATGGTGGTGATAGGGAGGTGGGTGGTGGGTATAGTAGTTAAGGGTTTTGTAGTCACATCAAGTCCCAGCTCCTCCTCCCCGTCCTGCTTCCTGCTAATGTGTAGCCCAGAGGTAATGTAATGATGGCTTACACAGTTTGGAGAAGCCCAGATTTAGTTGCTGGCTCCTGACTCAGGTAGGGACCTGTTTGGGGAGTAAATCAGCAAATGTTTGTCTTTCCAAAAAAAATTTGGTGGAAAATAGATTTCATAGCTATGTTAATTTTGGTACAAAAAATTCTTCGAAGATCCAGGGGTTGGCATGGTGGCCCAGTAAGACTACTTCCTGTGATGTCAGCGTCCAACAGTGTCAGTTGGAGTCTCGGCTTCTCAGGGCGGTCGTGTGTTAGCATAAATATGGCCCTGCCTGGGTAAGCGTGAGGCTCACTGTGAGATGAGTCCAGCAGACACTGTTTGGGTGGCTGACCTCACATTCCCTGTTTACATTTCACAGTTTTCCTTGGAAACCTTAGGAAAGCAGAGCTGTGGCTTCATTCATCTCAAAAGCATGCCCCTTGTCCGTGGGCTCAGACCCTGGGGCAGTCCTTCCCCACCCCCACCCCTGCCTGGTGTTGGGGTACTCACCACCCTCACTGTGTGTCCCAGGGACGGGCTGCAATGCCTGCTACATGGAAGAAATGCGGAACGTCGAGATGCTGGAAGGGAACGATGGGCTGATGTGCATCAACATGGAGTGGGGCGCCTTTGGTGACAACGGCTGCCTGGACGACATCAGAACCAACTATGATCGACTGGTGGACGAATATTCCTTAAATGCCGGCAAGCAGAGGTATTTCAGACACAAGAAGGGCCGTGAAAGCAGGTGGTCATATCTGACCTCTTTGCTGAGGCAGACAGTGCAAGCAGGGGCGGGGTCTGGCAGAGGTTTGGATACTGGCCCCTGTGATTGGCTGCTTCTCTTGGCTTCTGGTCTGCGGACAGCAGAGGGCTGACAAGGATAGTAATATGATGATGGAGATCCGGGCGGTTCTGCTGATGAGGGAGATGGAGGAGGCCCTGTCCTTGCCGGTTGCCCCGTCTGCCTCTGCACAAGGCAGGGCAGCCGTGAGTGGGCTGCCCGAGGGCTGGCAGTGGCATGGTGCCTTGCCCTGGATGCCCAGCCCGCGTCCTGTTGCAGGTACGAGAAGATGATCAGCGGCATGTACCTGGGGGAGATTGTCCGCAACATCCTCATCGACTTCACCAAGAAGGGCTTCCTCTTCCGGGGGCAGATCTCCGAGCCACTCAAGACACGGGGCATCTTTGAGACCAAGTTCCTCTCTCAGATCGAGAGGTGAGCGCAGGGGCTCGCCCCAAGGGTGGAACCAGCTGGGTTGTGATGGGGTTGGCCCTGGGGGCGAGGGGCTCTCCTTTGCTGAATCCTTTTATTGGGGGTCCCCTGGCTTTTATGCGGCTTTCCTGCTGGGTGGACATAGTTCTTGTGGGATAGGAAGGATACAGTGCAGGTGCTTGGCTGCCTTCCTTTGTCTCATGCCATGAGCATTTCACTCCTACCTTAGCCATGAGGAGGAGAAAAAGGGATCTGAGAAAGCGAGAGCATTTGTGCCGATGGCACCTGGGTCTTAGAAGGCTTGTGGTGGCTCTGCACAGTCACCTACCAGATCCTGCAGGTGCTTCTGCCCAGGCAAGGCTGCTGTCAGTTGCATAGCTCTATGGCATTGAGCGCTTGCTTGCCTTTTTAAAAAAAATTTCTTTATTTTAAAGGCAGGGTTAGAGAGCAAGAGATGGAGGGGAGCGAGAGAAATCTTCCAGCCTCTGATTTACTCCCCAAATGGTTAAGAATGGCCATGGTTGGGCCAGGTCAGGATCCCAAGTCTAGGTTTCTCACATGGGTGATAGAGCCCCAAGCCTAATAGTAAGGAAAGTCGTCATAAAGGGAAAATTGTTCTGTATGTAGCTTCTGGAAATGTTTAAAACAATTACTAGTTAAAGTGCAAACAATAAAGTGAAGAAACAGTTGCATCCTTTACAATAACGCAGAGCAAGTGGGGTGGGTGACAACTTTGGCAGATCTGGTCTTGAAGCCTGCCTGCCCAGCTGGCCATGTTTTCAGCTACTCAACTCCAGCCTCAGTATTATCATCTTTTAGATGGAACTAATCAGGGTTGGTGCTGTGGTGTAGTAGGTTAAGCTTCTACTTGGGGTATCGGTGTCCCATATGGGCACCTTGCTCTTCATCTCTGACTCAGCTGCTTGCTAATGGCTTAGGACAGCAGCAGAAGATGGCCCAAGTCCTTGGGCCCCTGCACACACATGGTGTTGGGGGAGACCTGGAAGAAGCTCCAGGTTCCTGACTTCAGACTAGTCTAGCTCCAGCCATTGTGGCCACTTAGGGAACAAAGCAGCAGATGGAAGATCTCTTTCTCTCTCCTATTCTCTCTGAAAATCTGCCTTTCAAGTAAAAATAAATCTTTTAAAAAAAAATGGAAATAATCCTTATCTTTAAATCCCACGAGGAAGAAAAGCCAGTCTGGGGCCATGCAGCCTGTGCAAGGTGAGGGAAGGGGGCCATCAGCCCTGATGGAGAATGCAGAGGGAGCTGTGATGTATGACCTTCCTGTGACGCCGCTGTTTCCCCACGTGCTCCCTCCCGCCAGGGATGGGATGGCCAGGTCCTCTACAGCAGGGAGCAAGCAGGGCCAGTCTTCCGAGTGGTGCTGGCAGTATGTATCCAAAGCCCTGTGACTCGGAAGCGCATCTCCAGGAAATAATCCAAACTGCATACAAAGATTAATAAATATGAAACTGCATCAGTGTTTATCTTGTGTGAAGGAGAGACAGCAATCTTCTCCCTGCTGGTTTATGGCCTCCCTCCCCAAAGCCTATGCAGCTGGGGCTGAGCTTGGCTGAGACTGTGAACCTGGTGCTCCCTCTGGGTCTCCCCGGTAGGTGTGATCACCCTCTGCCTTCCAGTATGCACAGCAGCAGGGAGCAGGACTCAGAAGCTGAGCTGGGACTTGAACCCAGGGGCTCCAAAATTCAATGCTGACTCCTAGCGGCATCCTTACCACTCTGCCAGATGCCCCTCCTCAGGTGGTGATTTCATAATAGCAGGCACTTGGAAAGGAGTGAGATGACCACAGACTGCCTGACGCCATGATGCTACAGGCCTGGAATGGGATGCTAGCTCCTCCATTTCTAGTCCTACACACCAAACAGCTTGTCAGGCATCACACAGGTGCACACAATAGGGAGAAAAAAGGAAAGCACGTGCATGCAAAACATGGTTCCCTGTCACATGTTGTAAGCATGGCATCCCTGTAAGCTGAGAAAGGCAGATGGGGTTGAAATCTAATGAACGGAGCATTTGCCGAGGCATTGGAATGGTGGACAGGTTTCATTTCCCAACTTTTCAGCTTTCGAGATTTGCCAAAATTCAGCATGAAATTGTTAAAAATGGAGTTTATCTATTTTTTTCTGAAATGTATTTGTTTGCTAGGCAGAGTTACAGAGAGAGAGTGAGTGCTAATCTTTCTACTGTTTAAATCCCCACATAGCTATGGCGGGGTCAGGCTAAAGCCAGGAGCCTAAAAGTCTATCCAAGGCTTCCATGTGGGTGGCAGGGGCCCAATCCCTTGGGCCATCTTCCACTGAATTAGCAGGGAACTGGATTGCAAGTGGAGCATCCAGGACTCAAACCTGCACTCCTACGAGATGCTGGCATCAAAGGCAGTGATTTAACCCACTGTGTCACAAGGGTTGTTTAAAAGGGCAAAAGAAGCCACAACCCTGTAGGTGGTGAAGTGCAGTGATCTGGGGCAGTCCGGCTTCACCCAGCCTCTGTCTTTTGTCCGTTGCAGTGACCGGCTCGCGCTGCTCCAGGTGCGGGCCATCCTCCAGCAGCTGGGTCTGAACAGCACCTGTGACGACAGCATCCTTGTCAAGACCGTGTGTGGGGTGGTGTCCCGGAGGGCTGCGCAGCTGTGCGGCGCAGGCATGGCTGCCGTGGTGGACAAGATCCGTGAAAACAGGGGGCTGGACCGCCTCAACGTGACTGTGGGCGTGGATGGCACACTCTACAAGCTTCATCCACAGTGAGTGGGGCCTCCCCTGGGATAGGCGAGCTCAAGGGGAATGGAATGACTGGGGATGACAGGGGTGACGGCAGACAGGCACACCTGCAGCCCGTGAGTCAGAGACCCGGGAACTGGGCCGGGGCAATGATCAGCGTGACGGGGACCCTAGGGAGGGGACAGGTACAAGATGTGGTTTTTGTTGGCCAGGTCAAACCAGCCATAGCATGACCCTCTCCCCTTGGTGGGGGGTGGGGGGTGGGGCGTGGAAGAGGAGGTCAGAGTCGAAGTGGCCAGCCACAGCCCAGCCAGCCAGGTGCGCTGGGGAAGTAAGAGACGGGCACCTGTGATCTTATTCACCTGCTCTGGAGACTTGAAGGGCAGGAGCAGTGTTGACCCTGGCTTTGAGGATGGGGCATAGCCTCCTTTAGTTTAAATGTCTGATTCCCATGCCAGAGAGAGGTGTGGGACCCTGTCTGCAGGCTGCTCATCACATGTCCTGTGACTAGCGTGACCCTGGTACCTGGTGTCTAAACTGGGATGCTGTAGCCAGCAAGAAGAGTGTTCCAAGTAACTACCCTGGACCTTCCTGGATAAACTGGGCTCCTGTGCAGCCCCCCAGGCCCCATCTCCTCTCTGTGGGACCCTGGCTTGGGATGAAGCAGTGAGTCTTGCTCCACCCTTACCTGTCTCTCCACCTGCAGAGCTGTCCTCATGGTGGCATGAGCTGGGCTCTGCAGCTGTGTAGCCCCAGGCTCTATACTGAGGCTGCCACATAGAATCTATGCTCAGTTGCTTCAACCCTGCCAGGTCCCTCCTTTGTGGATGAAAAATGGTGCACTGAACGCGTGGCATCCTTGGCAGGTGCTCAACCCTAGACAGCCATTCCTCCTGAGAGCCTCATTGCCCTCCAGCGTCCTGAGCTTGGCCCTGCTTCCTATTTTGGCACACCGTGCCAGGAGCCAGGATCACCCTCAGAGGGGCACCCTCCCTGCACTGGGGTTCCTAAGCTACAGCTGCGGGTGGGGAATGTTTGATCCCACAGAGCTTTGGTGCTGCTTGTTGGAATTCAGGTTCCTGGAGGTGAGGGTTTGTCTGTCACAGTTGCCCTCAGCCTCCATAGCCATGTGTGGGATGCACCTGTGCCTCCTTGCTCCCAGCGGGGGCTAGGTCATTAAACCCACTCTGCTTCCAGCCACTGCACTAGCTAGCCCTTGTGTCTGCAAGGAAGGCTCTGGTCTTTCTCCCCATCTCCACCTTCTGTTATGTGCTTGTTGTGTCTCTTAGCTTCTCCCGAATCATGCACCAGACCGTGAAGGAACTGTCGCCAAAGTGTAACGTGTCCTTCCTCCTTTCGGAAGATGGCAGCGGCAAAGGGGCGGCGCTCATCACGGCCGTAGGCGTGCGACTCCGGGGAGAGCTGGGCAGCTAAGAGCCAAGGGTGGAGGAATTCCCCCGGCCCACTGCCCTTCCAGCATTTCTCTCTGCCAAGCAACGACCCCTGTTCCTCCCAGTGTGCGGTGCTGGGACACGCTGGCGTCAGAGCCTGCCACCGCCCCGCCGCCAGCACTGCTGCAGCAGGGAGAAAGACACCACCCAACTAACGGTGTATAACCTAGGGTACAGTGTAGAGTGTGTACTGCTGGTAATCTCTCCCCTGGATTCCTCCTCAACTGCCCTGCCACTCTGCATGATTTGATTTCAACCTGGTCGTCCGTTCCCCACATGTGATGTGTAGTGGCATCCATTTCGACTGTATGCATTTACCCACCTGATTATTTATTGGCTCGAGATGAAAAATCACAGCACCTTGCCTCCGAAGCTCGCCGTTGGAGTCCTCTCCCCTCCCCACGCCGTGTGACATGTCTATTATCACCAGCAGACACTGCCGGGCTTCCACCTTCCGGGACATGCGGCCTGGAGTGTGGACATGGCGTTAGCCGCCCCTCCTCCATCCCGTCAGGATGCAGCAACGCCCCTAGATCGTGTGTCTGTGTACCCCCAATCCTAGCCACGTCGTTGGCAGTTTTGGCGTTGTTTGTCTTGCAGGGGGAAGGTGGACCGTCCTGGGGGAGATTGTCTTGTCTGTGTTTGGGTCAAAGGAACCAGTCAGCCCTCCATGCTGTCATTGGAATCTCCCATCGCTTCTGTGAGCCATGTTGTATGATCTAGTAAACTTTGTACCGATTCAAAGACCCGTGTCACACTTCATCCCTGGGGAGTATGCAGAGCACCCAGCCAGGTCCCCAAACCACACCTTGGGGTTTCTGCAGGAATCCAGATAAAAGGTTGTGGTCATCAGCCCCTGGTCTGCCCCTTGGGTCAGCATAGGGACTTGGGGACCATCTGCTTCTGTGCAGTGTCACAGAAGGAGTCTCTTGTCATAATGACTGGCACCTGCCCTGCCAGTTTTTCCTCTAGGCCCAGGTCCTGCTGCCCCCACAAGAAGGCAGTGGTGGAAAGCCATGCCCTCCAGCCTGGCTCATGGGACCTGCTGGGGTTTAGTGAGATGCCAGGGTAGTGCTGCTATGTGCCCCCTGCCGTCCCTTTCCATCTCTCTCGGTGCCAGCCTCCCAGAAGGAGATAAGGCCCTGCCTGCCTGCCTGAGATGGAGTCCTAAAGCAGCCCAGCATGGCAGGCTTGCTGCTCTGTCTCCCTGGCCTCCACCTGAATTGGACCCTACCCATCAATTGGACAGATTTGGCCCTTACCAAACCCTTTTCGTCCCATAGACACCATGCTGCATTTTCCCGCCAGCTCCTCAGTAGGTATCATACCCATGTGCCCCCCAGACACGCCAGACCCAGCTCTCAGAGGCTTCCCATAGACTAACTATGTGCCCACTTGGTTTAGTGAGGTCAGCCACTTTATTTGGGGTCCTGGCAGTGCCACTACCTGGCACAGTGATCTTTGTGAGGACTATGATAAGGTGAAGAAGTTTGGTGTGTGTTTTCAGGGTCATACAGTTCTCTTTGAGGAGCCCAGGGTCGGGGACAATGAGACAGCTAGCAGGGAAGCATGCGCCCCTGCCTGGGGAGGACTCGGCCAGGCCTGGAGCTTCCTGGTGGAGACACGTTTGACAGTGTCTGCCTGTCAGCCTCTCGCTGTGGAAGTGAGGGTGGGAGCCATGTGGCTGGCTGGCAGGTGGCCTGTGTGCAATGACTGGCAAGAAGCTGTAAGAACTGGGCCGTGGTTCAGTGAGCACCAAGCTTGTGTGTGGCCTGCTGGTCCCCTCATATCACATTCAGCGGCTCAGCCTCCTGGTGAGAACAGGTGAGGGTTCAAGCGTCTTGGCAGGCTCTCCGCCTCCATCTTCCAGGGGCTGTGCTACATTCCCAAACTCTGAGCTCTCAGCCGATGGGCTTGGCAGGTGGCCAGCCGCCTCATGGTGTCTTTAGTCTGATGAGAGGTCAGTGTCGTGGTCTCACACTGCCCACAGACATCCTTTACTCAGCATGTCCAAAGTTTACAAATGTCTGGGAGCCAGATCTCGATTTGGAGTTTGACTTTTCCTGGGAAGCTCGGGGACCCTGGCAACCGTGGGCCGCTGTGAGCACTGACAGCTTTACCCAGGCAGGTCAGCTGCCATCAGGTCCTCGGAAAGCTTGTCCACATCGCTGCAGTCTGCACCTCCTCTGCCACCAGAAGTCAGCACATTCAGGGTTCTTCATTCTTCATTTAATTTAGCATTTTATCCGATCTTATTACTGTTTGCTCCAGGAAGGCACTTGAGCTTGTGATTCCTGGAGCAGGTGAAGGCACGTTCTACCTGGAGCGCTCCAACCCCCATGGCTCCCTTGAGGTGCCACCCTGCCATGGGGAGACTCTCGCTCCATGCTGTTTTCTGTGGATGTGGCAGACATGGTCTAGACTGTCTGGTCTGTCCGCTTGGCTGGCTGCTTCTTCAAGGATGCTAAGCCTCCCGCCTCGCAGCCAGGCACAAGGCTTCAGAATTCACAGGCAGCCGTGTCCTGGGCACCTCCAGCCTGCCCGTTGGCAACCTCGGAGGGGACCACCTCCCCAGCCAGGAACAGAGTCTCTTTGGTGTGACACCTGTTGACCCGCATGGAGAGGGACGGTGTGTGTGTCAGCTCCAGTCTATCTTCCTCAGCTGGTGTGACCCAAGGGCAGCAGCGGAAAGCCAGGCGGAATCCTGAGCGAAACCTGGAGTGGGGGGGTGGAGCAAAGGATTGGAGTGTGGGAGCTGTGTGTGTGTCGGGGAAGCCCTACCCTAGAGGAAAACCCTACTCTGGTGCTCAGCGGCTCCTGACGTGGGATTGGAAGCCGCCAGTCTGGCCGATGGGTGACTGCAGATTTGGGCCATTTCATTACACAAGAAAATGAACACAGTTGAATGATGGAGGCACAGCAGTCCTCCAGCTTCTCTAAAGGAGTACCTGGAGGCTGCTCACAAAACCTGGGGCTTGGGCCCAGTGGGCACAGTAGGTGTGCTCTCCCAAGGGGCTCACTCCCTACATGTGGTGCTACCAAGCCCTGCTTAATGAATGGCTCCCCATGGCAGCCCTGATGTCCCCACATAAGCCGGAGGAGGAGGCACAACGAGAGAAAGGATCAGGTTGGCAGAAGAGATGCCAGCTGCCTGGGGCAGAGCAGACAGGAAGGAGTCCCTATGTCAAATGGGAGAGCCGGTGTGCATCTGCCCAGAGGCTGTGCACTTCCGTGACCCTGCACAACCACCTGCCCTGGGTTGTTGCCTTATGCTGCTACAAGACTCCCAACTGGGGCCCTATGCCTCACATCCACAGCTGACATGCCCCCACCCTAGCTCTCAGTCACCCCTGCCACCCTCAGCCAGTGTGTTTCAGCTCCCCAATGGGTCAAGAACCTGTTGGCTCTCACATGCCACCTCCCTGCCATCACTCTAGCTGGCTTTACTATAGCCAGGGCCCGACCACAGCCAGCTAAAGCCACCCATCTCCTGCCTGGGTGACTGGTAACTTGTCCATGCATTGCTTGTCTCCAGGATCTAGTTACCATGCAGCTCAGGCCTGGTTCTGCTGAGCTGTGGGCACAGCCCGTCCTGTCTGGGAGTGCCTGCTCCCAGTCTTGGCTACCTTGTGCTGGTCACCCAGCTCCCTGCTATTGCACCTGGGAGGCAGGGATCCCTGCCGCCCACGTGGGAGACCTGAGTGGCGTTCCTGACTCCCATCTCTCTCAGATACGGTCACTCTGCCTTTTAAATGAATTTTTTTTTTAATGTCAGGAGAGAAGCCAGCCCCTCCCCAAGTTTCCCTCCAGTGCCTCTTGGTCCTCCCTTGTCCTACAGGTGGGTCCTGGAGAGAGCAGGGACAGGCAGACCAGGAGGGCTCTGGCCTGGACGAGGCTTTGGGGAGCAGGTGGAACTGAAGCCAGGCCCTGACCAAAGGGTGGGTTGTGCTGAGGGCCCACTAGGAGGATGGAATTGCTGCCTGGGGTGGGAGGAGGGTAGGCAATGCAGGGAGCCCTTCCCATGGATGAGGCAGGGGCGAGGCACACAGGTGGGCTCACCTGTGGTTGAGGCAGCAGTAGATAATGGGGTTGTACATGGTGGAGCTCATGGCCAGCCAGAAGAGGGCCAGGTAGACCTGCTGGATGAACTTATGGCAATAGATGTCCTCCTGGAAGTGGCCCAGCAGGAAGTAGAGGTGGTAGGGCAGCCAGCAGATAGCGAAGGTCACCACCACCAGCACCATGGTCTTCACAAACTGGTACAAGAGCTCAAGTTACTCCTCTGCCCCAGGACCCTGAGCCCCAGCCCTCCCAGGGCAGCTATGGGATGCCCCTCATGCCAGTGTGGGCAACCCTACATCGCTGGGCAGCCCCAGCCCCCCTGCAGTATTGGTGGTCCACCCTTCAAAGCCCCCACCTCCAGCCCTAACCCAGGGCTGTCCCCTGTCCTCATTCCCGGAAGCCCATCCAGCCCAACAGGTCCTGGAGGGTAGATGAGCATTGTCCTGTTCCTAATCCCAACCTCTGGGGAGCCCCTGAGCCAGCCACAGGGTTCCCAGGCTGCTTTCCCACTATCGCCCCCACGTCTTTGGGTGAGCAGGGGAGGCTCCCCAGGCTGGCCCTGCCCCAGGAGCTCACCTTCTTCTTGGCCCGCAGGTGGCGCAGGTTGGCGCCGTGCGCCTCATGCCTGGGCACCGCGCGCTTCCAGAGTGTGAGACCGATGATGCTGTAGGCGACAAACATCACCACCAATGGCAGGAAGTAGATGAGGGCGATCACCGTGAGGTGGTACCTGTGGGGAGAAAGCCAAGGGCCTGGGCAGTGAGCTGCCAGCCACCAGGTTCCTACAGCCTGGGACCGCAATTGCCCCTGCTGGTCCGCACCACGGACAGAGGCTTTGGCGTGATGCAGAGAAAGGCTAGGGTTCGTTTCCTCTGTCACTAAAGGGCCCCCAGCGTTAGCCCGGCTTCCGTCCAGGTGACACATGCTACCAAACAAGGAGATAAACAGGAATGAGAAAAAGTGAATTGAGCACTGCGTTGGCTTAGAAGTAAAGACACTATTAAATACCAAAAGGGGAAGCCATGTGACTTATCCCACTCGTGTCACAATGTGCCATTTGGGCTGTTCCTTCTGGAGTCCTGTATGTAGGTATGCCATGGATGTGCACATGTGCATGCATGAAGCTTCTGTGTAGAGTGGCTGGCATCAATAGGACCCCTTCCTGTATGTACCCCGGCAGCAAAGAGTAGGACACTGGGCTTTGCCATGTTGCACACACTACTGTGCCACCTGCTTCCTGCCTGCATGCACTTGGGGGCACCACAGTGTCAGCAAGACCCTGGCAAGTGTCCCTCATACCCCTGCTTGGTCCTTGGGTGCACACGGGGCTGGGCTGAGAGCATGCCTGGGGGCTGTGGCTGTTTCTGGCTCTGGGCTCTGAGGACTGATCAGCTGAGACCTGGGGAGCAGCCAGCCAAGGGCCCTGCTTGCTGTGGGCCTCTTCCTGGCGTTTTGAGCCCCGCTTGCTCACTTTGGCAAGTGCGCCAGTTGCACAGGCCCTGGGGGCTCCTGGATGCCCTGGTCTTCATGTGCGATCTAGATGGAGAGTCCTGACAAGGAGCAGGTGAGAGAGGGCGGGGGAGCCAGCCCAGTGTCTGAGCTAGGGACAGCTAGAGGACCAGGTCACCTGCCCCAGAGTCCAGAGACAGAACTGAGGCCCAAAAAGGTACAGGAACCTGTGTGACAGTCAGAGCTCTGCAGACTCGATGGGAACCTGGACAGCACCTTATTCGGAAGCACAGGACTCTGATGCAACATGTGATTTTTGGGCTACGCAGTGCTCGCCCTAAGTCTCAGTCTTCCCATCTATAAAATGGGAAAGTCACCTCTCCATCCTGGCTAAGAACAGCCCTGCTCCACCCCCTCATTCTTGGCCCAGTCTGAGCTTTGGGGTGCATCAGGATGTAACCTGGGGATCACAGAGCAAGGGGTCTGTGTCAGACACTCCCCTACCCAAGAGGATAAGATGTCCTCAGCCAGGCCAGGCATTCCCCAGTCCTCTCCAAGTCTAAGGAGCACCACTGTGTGGCTCTGCCTGCCCAGCCCTGCCCTGTTGTTCCTGGCCCTGCCCTGCTGTTCCTGGCCTACTGCAGGGCCCCAGGCACCGTGCACAGGGAGCCAGACCTGGCAGTTCAGGTACCTAGTGGTTCCCCTCTCTCAGGGAAGGAAGCCCACGCATTAAGGCAGAGGAACACTGCACCCTAGTGGTCAGTCCCAAAATACCACCCGCCCCGGGACCAGCAAGAAGGTGCTGCCATGGGCCCCAGCCTCAGTGAGAGTAGGGGATGAGATGGAGGTCCAACCCTAGGCTCCTTGGCAGACTGCCAAGTATGGAATGGCTTCTCTTGCCTGACGTTCAGGACGGATGGAGACCAGGAGGGGAGGGGTGGTGGAGGGAGTGGAGGCAGGGGCTGAGTAAAGGCTGGGTTGTCATGGTTACCTGGAGGCCCTGGTGCACATCCCTACACTTGCAAGCAGCTGGGACTCTGTTGCCCTGAAATTGGCCACCTCCAGGTTTAGTTTTCTTGTCCCTGTTTAAACTACCACACAGCCCCATGGAAGTAATGGAATGGCCAGGAGACTGGGCTTGGAAACACGACAGCCTGGGTTCGAATCCCCCTTTACTACTTACTCATGGTGCACACTCATGGCACATGAGTTAGTTTTCCAGTGCTCCTATTGTGCAGAGAATGGAATGGTTAATATGTGCAGCCACCTGGGAGCAGGGCGAGCACAGGTGGGATGATGTGACAGCCACGTGCACTTGCAAGAAGCTGCACTTTGCCCTGAGGTCTTTCTCTTGGGCCAGGGAGATACAGCCCCATCTGTGTCACCTATACTGGCTTCCAGGTATGGTGAGGGAGACCCCAGACACTCTGCACACCTGCTATGGCCACATGGAGTGGGAGGAGTACACGCACGCTTAGCTGAGGATCATTCCCAGTGACGATGCTCACCCATTGGCCCAAGTGCATGCCTGCACACACATGCACATGCATGAATACGAGTACACACACACAGCACCCCCCATGCCAGGCCTTACAGGAGGAGCATCTTGCCTCCACTGTCTTCAGGCCAGGCTACCACACACTTGGTAGCACCCTGGTCCATAGTGATGGTGGAGTAGAAGCACTGGGGGAAGGCGAGGGCCAGGGCCACCAGCCAGATGCCAGCGATGACTGCCTTGGTGCCAGGCGCTGAGAGGCGGGGCTGGAAGGGGTGCACGATGGCCATGTACCTGTGAGCAAAGGTCAGTGTGAGTAGTGGGCTGCCTTCCATCAAAGAGGCTCTCATTCCCTCTTCTCCCCCAGAGCCCAGACTCAGAGGGGAACATTCCCGCAGAAGGCCACTGGAGGGCACTGGCCACACTGGCTGTCCAGCTTAGCGCAGGCCAGAGTACCCAGCATTAAGTCTGAAGCTCAGCCCTCTGTCCGGGTGCCCCAGGCCCAGCCCACTTCTGTTCAGGAACATCAGCAGAGCTGGAAGCCTGCAGGAGGAAGCCCGGATCAGTGCAGCTCACCGATGCAGGAAATGCTGTCCACACATGCATTGTCCCGTTTAGTAGTCGCTAACCACACATGGCCAATAAGCATGAGAAACGTGGTTAGTATGACCAAGGAGCCACGTTGCATGTTTCAATGAATATGTGAAGGCAGCCCCCTGCCCCCAACTTCAGGCTGTCAGGAGCAGCAGCCTCTGGGAGAACTGCTGCCTGGCATCCTTGTGCCCATGGGCTGTCTGGTATTGGGACAAGGCACTCCCCTCTGCCCCCAGGCTTCCCCAGCCCTACAAAGTCCTGGGGCTGGGTGGGACTAAGGAAGATGAGTGGGAGGGTAGCTCCCTTCCTGTGCAAGCTCACACATCCTCTGGCCTCTGCCCAGAGCCCGTGGTTCCTCCTGGTCCCACCCCTCACTGTGGATGGATCAGGAGTGAGCGCCTCAGGGATCTTGGGTACCAATACAGGTGCCAATACAGGTGAAGCAGCTGACCCCAGGTCAGCTGGGGGCATAAACTCCCTGGTTGGGCCATGGACATGCTGCTGGGCAAGGGGCAGGTCCTGCACCCTGGGATTCACACCCTGGGCCCCCAGGGCCCAGCAAATTACCTGAACCCCTCCAGTATCCTTGCCTGTCCCCAGGGGAACAGGCTGCTCAAGCTGGGAGGGCTGCTGTGAGAAGGAATGGAGCACTTGGGCTGCACTTGGGGGACCCTGGGAGCTCTAGATTGGACAGTGTGGTCATTTCTAGTTCTTCATTGCCTTTCAATGCAGTGCATAGCTAGTGCCATGGCATAGTAGGATAAACCTCTGTCTGAAGTGTTAGAATCCCATATAGGTGCCAGTTCAAATCCCAGCTGTTCCACTTCTGATCCAACTCCCTGCTAGTGGCCTGGGAAAGCAGCAGAGATGGGGTCAATTTCCTTGGTCTCCTGAACCCATGTAGAAAATCCAGAAAAAACCCCTGGCTTTGGATTGGCTCAGCTCTGGCCATTGTAGCTATTTAGGGAGTGAGTGACCCATTGGATGAAAGATCTCTCTCTCTGTTTCTGCTTCTCTCTGTGCAATTCTGCTCTGCTTTTCAAATAATAAAAATAAATGAAGTTTTATTTAAAAATTCACTGCTGAGGGCTTTGGTCCTGGGTAATGCCCGGGACAAGGCCAGCATGAGAGGATGTGGACCCCTCCCTGACACCTTCTGGGCACCGACTGGCTGAAGCTCTGTGGCCAGTGAGCATTCCTGCCCTGCTTCTCCTTGCTGCCACGGGGAATGTTCTCCCTGGAGCTGAACATTTCTCCCACTCCTGCCCCACCTCCCCAACCAGGCCTGCCTGGACAGCCTGTGCAATACTCAGGCTACGTCTCCCCCTGGCCCATGCCCCCAGCCCATTGGGTGCCCCCAATCCTCTAGAGTGTCTCATATTCAGGGACCTTATGCCTGTGCTGGCTGCTTCAACTCACAAGGTTTTGCCCCCAGCGGCCAATCAGCAGAGCTAGCTCGCTTGTGGTGTGAGTGAAGGTGTAAAGAAATGAATGTGTGAGTGTCTGGTGTCATCAGCCACCCCGCTCTCTTGCCTGGCTGGGTATCCAGCAGACCCCTCCTGCATAGTGGCCTGTGGCCTCGCCTGGGCCCTAGCCCCACACCTCCCACCCACGCCCTGACAGTGGGAGCCCTGGGAGGCCCAGGGATTGGAGCTGATTGTCCTGGGTTGGGTGTGCCCAATGCCTGGAGCTGCTTCGAATGTACACCGAGGACACCCAAACGCCGGCTGGGGGCCGGCCAAGCAAACCACAGTGGGATGTGCAGACATGCGGCAGTGTTAGGATGTGGGCTGTCAGACAGGGAGGGAGCAGGGGTGCTGAATGTCCCTGACTGAAGGGGTGGCTTCAAGGCCACCGGCTCACCCCTGCCTCAGTTTCCTTGGCTAAAAAATTACAAGGGTGTAGGAAACCTCTGTTCTGGGCAGGGTCGTTTGGATCTTTACAACATTGTGTGCGGACCACATTAAGTGGCACACTCAGAAATAAGCCTGGTTCTATTGAATTTGGAATTCTGCCTGCAGCTGCCTGTATAAACAAAACTGGACTCAATGATGTTGTGGGCCTTTGATTGGCCGGGATGCTCCCACCCTGGGGATGAAGGAGGCTTTAAAGATTTCTTTTTTTAGGTGCCATGAGCAGGAGAAAATGTTTCCTGAGTGCAATCCTTGGGGAAGTTTCCAAAGCAATGTGCTGAGCAGCTGGGTGGAGGGCTGCCGGAGCCCATGGGGTGGGGACCCCAGGGAGGACCTGACAGGGAGGTGATGCCCAGGGAAGGGGTTCTCAGGCGCCTCGCTGCCCACCATCACTGCCAGTGCCTTTTTCCTGCAGCTCCAGTGGCTGTCTGAATCATGTTGCCCCAGACTCAAAGTCTCCTATACCCAAACCAGGCCCTGCAGGTCCCCAGCAGCCCTCGGGGACTCGGGGTGGGCTCCCTGCTGACTCCTGCACCTGCTGGCCCAGGGCTCCTGGCCAGGAGGCCACAGGTGGCAGCCACTAGTGAAAACAACAGGTCCTATTAGAATTCCGTGATCAGACAGGCTCAGTGTGGGCTCACGCAACCTCACTGAGATGCAGAGATAAGAGGACAGCCCCGCCAGCAGTGTCCTTCCTGGGTCTAACCTTGAGCTAACTTGCTCCCATCCTCTAGATACAGTATTTGGAATTGTGGCTGGATCTGGAAGGCAAATTGTGGGGTTTCCTCCAACCCACTGTGCCCACAGACAAGCTGCTGCCCCACCTCAGTGTGTACCCCAGCAGAATGGGGTGTCTCTCCCCACCCCAGCTGCCCCACCCAGCTGCACCGGCCACATTCTTGCCTGTCGGCTGCGATGGCCGTCATGGAATAGATGCTGACAAACATGGCCGTGATGGGGAAGAGGTTCTGGAAGTAGCAGAAGGCGCGGCCGAAGTACCAGATGTTGTGGCTGGCGTAGACAAAGTTGAAGGCAGCGTTAAAGGTGGCCATACAGAGGTCAGCCAATGCCAGATTCACGATGAAGTAGTTGGTAACTGTGCGCATCCTCCGGTGAGCCAAGATGATCCAGATGACCGTGGCGTTGCCCACCACGGCCACCAACACCAGGGCTAGGTAGGCTGTGGCCCACAGGCCCAGCTGCCAGCCAGGCATGGAGAAGGCCGTGATTCCCGTGGCATTGCTGTCAACATCAGATGAGACGTTGGCTTCAGTCACAATGTCACAAGCACCCATGGCAGCTCCTCAGTGGGGGACGAAGGGCCGCAGCTCCTGGATTGGCGGTCCTCCTTGGTGTGTAGGTACACGGGATGGGAGTGAGGACAGGAGGAGATGCAAAGCAGCAAGGTGCAGCTAGGGAATCTGAGGGCCCCTTGTCTTCCGGCCCAGACAGATGGGTTAGGCAGAGAACAGCACCTGGCACACAGCCATGGTCGGCCCCTGCTCTCCCCTCCCAGCAAGGCTTCTAGCGTGCCCCATGCAAAAGTGGGACTCAGACCGTGCACTGAGAGCAGAGCGCATCCCCCAAAGTCATCAGCTCACTCCCTTTGCTGAAGAGACGAAAGGCTGGTGCTCACGGAGGGCTGGGTGGAGCGCAGCCAGCGCTGGTGCTCATGGAGGGCTGGGTGGAGCGCAGCCAGCATGGAACCCCGGAGCATTCCCTAATGCTGTTCAGGAGACACCACGGCAGGTCAGAGGGGCAGATGGTGGGAGGCTAGATCCCACAGGTCACCCGCATAGGATTCAGGGTGCAGGCTGGGTTGGGAGGCCCAGGCATGCCCACGACTCTGCCAACTGCTAGCCCTGGCTGCCGTTCTCCACCCCCTAGTAGGGGTGCTGCCTGCTGCTGAGGTGGGGCTTCGGCGCCCGCCCCTTGTCCCACCCCCTGCTTGCACGGCTGGGCCTTGTCTGCTGGAAGATTTAGTACCAGCCGCGAGGCGGGGAGAGGCCCTGGGTAGATCAGATCGGCTGCAGCCCAGAGCGGAGTGGGGGTGGGGGGCTGGCACAGAGGGCACAGCCCTGGCTGCGTGTTTACATTCAGCCTGGCACAGGAGCTGCAGCTAGCGGGTGACTGTGAGTGAGCACTCAACGCTGGGTTGAGTCTGAGCTGGGCTTGGTGACTCTGGGAATTTCTGAAAAGCAAATCTTAGTGAGAGATTCAGAACTCGCCAGGGGTGTCAGGGTGTTTATGAGGTGGTGGGGTGGTCAGCTTGCCACTGGGAGAGCCCCTGTATGCTGAGAGCCTACTGGTCAGGGGTGCTGGGTGCCTGCCCCGCTTCCACCTGCTGTGGGCTGACCTCTGGGGTCCCACCCATCTCTACCCTTTGGTTCCCTGACCGACATGCAGATGGCCTTCCAGCTTTTTTGCTTTCATTAGTGAAGTTTCAGGGTAATTCCATAGTCCTAAAGCCTAAGGCAGAGAGAAAGCTGGCTGTCCTGGGTGAGGTCACTGGGGCTGATGGGGTAGGGTGGGGACGGTGAGAGGACCAACTGCCCCATTCGCAAATCAGAGAACTTGCCGTCTGTGTGTGAGGTTTAGATGAGATCACACTGCTCAACACAGGAGCTGTGCACGGAAGGCATGACCTGGACTTGTGACCCCAAAGGAGCCCTCCTCTCCTTCAAGATGCTCAGGGCTCCACGGGAAGGAGAAGAGGGGACCCGCTGTGTTTCTAACCAGGTCCCCTGTGGTGCTGCTACCCTCATGGGTGATTCAGGGGTCTCCCCTTGAGAGCCACCGTGAACCTCAGGAGCTGGAGTTTCAAGCCCAGAGAGGGCTCCTCTGGGGTTGCCCTGAGCTGTCTGCTGGGGCCGCTGACCATGTATGCTGGACTTCAAGTGGCACTGAGAATATTCTGAGTGACACTCATGCGCCTGTGTAGCATGGTCAATGAGGGTGGGGTCAGCCCCAGGCCCAGAGTACACCTTGCTAGGTGCAGGGGGGTGGCCTATGCCACAAATCCCAGCACGGTGGCCTCGCGGCTTCCATGGCTCTGCCCGGCACAGGCTAGGTGTCTCATGGCTGATCCTCTTGCCCAGCCTCCTCCTTCCTGCTTCCCCACGGTGGGTCATTTCCCTCCCACAGGGCCCGCTGGCTGAGCTGGGAAAAACATTCTAGGTGTGGAGTAGAACAATGATTATGCTTCCCAGGGAACTTCAAAAATATGGAAAAAGAATCCAGAGATGTTTGTTTGCATGCCAAAAAAACAAAAAAAAACCTCTTACACCTGTGCACCACATTTCCTAAATACATTTTCTACCAGTTTCAGAGATCCCTCATACAACTGCAAAATAATTTTGTATCCAAATAAACTTATTTTGAATCCCCTTTTTCATGAACTTTTTGAAGTCCTTTCGTAAAACTAACTTGAAAAGTCATGAAGCTAAACTATTTGCCAGAAGCAAGCGTGTGTCCTACATTTTTCTGAGAGTGAATTTCTGGATAAGATCACCAACAGCCATCATGGAAACTGTTCTGTGGTGTCCTGCTTTGCAGCTCTGTCAGGCCAGTGACTTTGTCTTTGGCAGGAGGTGTTTCCTGGGATGCTATGCCACGGGTTTATAAAGGATTATAAAGACCTGAGGCTGGCCAGCTCCGCACAGAACCAGCTGGAGACCTGGCCAGGCAACATGGCACAAGCCTGCTCGCTCCCTGCAGTGGGCCATGGTGCCCAGTGTGGCCTCTGGCCCTGGCTGAAGGGCCTCTGCCCATGGTCTGTCTGCATGGTGGCAGCATGGTCCACACTGGGGCGCCTTCCTGGCTTGTTCTCATGCAGCTGAGTGTGCCTGGAGGACAAAGTGTGGGGAAACAAGAACGACAGCTCGGCTCAGCCCCCCGCACACTGCTGTCCTTGCCTCCCACGGTCCGGTGCTGCAGCCAGAATCTGCGGGGCTCCGGGCCCAGACACAGTGCAGGGCTGGGATGCCTGAATGTCACCAGTCACAGGAGCCCAGAATAGTACAACGTCCCCACTCCCCCTCTGTCCCATCACCTCCACTGTGTACGTAAGGGGGATTACATGGGGCAGCTATTAAATCTGAGCTTTTATTTCACCCTTAAATCATATGCCTGTGGCTTTCCAACTATGTGCTCTGTACTTCGCAGCTCCCCAGGAAGCAGAGGCCACCCAGGACACGGCAGGGACGCTGGGTGGTGCCGCCTGCCTGGAGCCACTCTGGAGTCAGCAGCTGGATGGTGGTCTTGGAGGAGGCCAGTCTTGGTTCAAGGACAACAAATAACTTGCCTTCTTTTGAGCTCTTGTTGACACATGGTTAAGTGTCAGACTGGCAGGAAACAGGGATGAAGGTTGCCTATGTTCCAACCTGGGGCCCCCTGGAAAAGTATATACTGCTGCTGAGACCAGTGTGCAGGCTGATGGCAGAGGGGCCACCGGGAATGACGGCTGCGCAGGAAGCAGGAGTTTGAGGAGCAAGGAGCTGAGATCAGAACAAGCTCCTCAGCAGCCTAGGACAGCCCTTCCGAGGAAGAGAGTGGGCAGAAGTGACCAGATCTTTTCTCGGCCACAGCCATCGCTGGATGCCAGCTATCCCAAGGAGGGCTGTGTCTGTTGGCAAGGCAGATTTTTGTAGCCAGGCATCTGGGGAGTGGCAGCTGAGGGCTCTCCAGGGACAGCATGGAGGACAGTGTGTGAAAGTACCTATTTCAAGGACCTCCTACTAACTTGGGTGACTGACCTCTAGGCCAGAGGCCTGATGGCCAGGGCTGAGTCAGCGGACAGCACTGGGGGCAACTTGGTCACCTTGAGTAGTGTCAAGTGCTGACTGAACTCACCTGGGTTGGGTCAAATGAAGACAGCAGGGACAATGGGGTGAGCTTTTCACACAGCTCAGTAAGTCCAGTTCCAAAGGCCACAGATCGTCCGGGGATTGCAAGGCTCCTGCACATGATGGATGCCACTGGCAGGTGGCAGCTGCTTCTTTTTTGGCTTTTCCTCTAAACTTTCTTGAGGAAGAGCAGGTTTGTGACTTTTGAAGTTTTCCCAGTTTGAATTTTAGATATTTTGTTGACCCACAAACATCTAAGACTGAGAGCCCTGATCAGGCGTCTGGGTTAGAAAACTATGGGACAGGAGCCTCCTACAGGGGCTGGCTCAGGTCCCACCGCCAGCAGTGGAGGTGCCAAGGCTGGAGGTCTTGTTTTGTTGTAGTGACCTCCCATCTCTGGACAAACATTAAAATCATAGCCTGGCTCTTCCCTCCTGTGTCTCACCAGGGGCTCCTCTGAGCCCACACATTGTCTTCTTGTCTCTGGTGTCTAGGAGAGTGGCCAGCTGGTTGGTGATGCTCTGTGGATTTACCTGAATGAAAGTGATGAATGAGTGGTTGGTACCGTGGCATTAACACTTTAAGCCTTCATTGTGACACCATGTGGATACTGAGTCAAGTCCCAGCTGCTCCACTTCCCATCCAGTTCCCTGTTTGTGACCTGGGAAAGCAGAAGAGGATACCTAAAGTCCATGGGACCCTGCAATGATGTGGGGAGACCCAGAAAAAGCTCCTGGCTCCCAGCTTTGGACCAGCCTAGCTCTGGAAGTTGCAGCCATTTGAGGAGTGACCCAGTGGATGGAAGATCTCTCTCTCTTTCTTCTTCCCTCTCTCTTTGTAACATTGCCTTTGGGAAAAAAAAGGTAAATAAATAAAATCTTAAAATTATAAATGAAATTGGGACCTTGGGGCTTGAGTGAAGGGAGCTCCCAGCAGCGTGGGGGCTGCTGGGAGTACCTGAGCCAAGTCAGACTCAATGCTTGGGGCCCTAGTCCCAGCCACCACTGCCAAAGAGTGAGAGCGTCCAGGGCTTGCTTAGGCTTGAGAGTTTTCTCCCTTCACAGTGAGCACACTGTGAAGGGATCTCTTGGGTGCTCGGGTTGGTGCCTGGCTCAGCCCAATGCTGCCATCTTGGGCTTGCAGGTGGCCAGAGCACCAACTGGCACCAGGCTCTGCCTGCTGGCCACCTGGCAGTGAGTTCTGGGATCTTGGGGATGTAGAATTACTGACTCAAAACATTCATTGATAAGGCCACTGTGTGTGTAGGTGAGGAATGAATCTTGAGCAACCCCCAACTACAGGGCCATTGTACTTGCAGATGAGCAAGGGGACTGAGACCTGGTATTTGAAGGGGAAACACCTGAATGAAGATCTGTATGGGTCAGACTGATACACCAGCCCACACTGGAGTCCTGAGTAGTGTTTGTTAGCATGGAACATTGCTGACCATC